AAAAAAAAAAAAAAAAAAAAGGATAACTTCCAAATGCTGAATGAAGTTAATTATCAGATGTAATCAATTTGATTTGACCCTGTAGAGGTTAGTGGTGCAGATTCTGCCTGGATATACTGAACTTATCCAATTAACTTTCACTGTAGTAACTGAATGGAACAATAGCATCTCATAAATAATATCAGGCAATCAGATTATTAACAGAAAAAAGTATATAAGTAATTTAGTACTTACAGAAAACAAGGTATACAATATAAAGAGTGAGCTGCTACTTACCCTGTTGATTAAATTAGTGAGCCACCCATAAGGTTCCTGAAAAAAGTTATAATTTGTTTATTGTTGTGTGAAAAGCCTCCTATGATATAAAGATTCCCTTCCTGCAGTGAATATCGCTACTGTTTATCACCTAATTTATTTACTCATTTTGATGCTCTACTAGTTTATTTTTCATCTAACTATTCTTTAAGAAGAGAATAAATGTAAATGTACTTAAAATAGTACGATTAAAAGAGTAGACTGAAACTAAACAGCATTGACAGTAACAAGTGGCATTAAAATACACATCATTTATATATTTATATGTTTAATAATGCTGAGGGTCTTGGTGAAAAAAATACCTTAAATGCCCCCTGAGGACTGATAGCGCTGAGTCCTTTTTCTCCTAGCTTCTCCTCCCAGTACATTTTGTCAGCTTTCCGGTTTTTGTTCTTCATATGATATTCGGTTTCTGGATTGAGCACCTGTAAAATATCAATGAATATATTATTATTTCTCTCAAATAAAGAGAAAAACTACAGTTTTATAATGCCTTAGGTATGTAAATTCTTTATTTACAGTACACAATACTAACATAATTTTTTAAAATTTCATTACGACAATAAAACATACAAAAACATGATGGTAATTTTAATTGGACACTGAGTTTATAACTGGTATCATTTTAAATAGTTATTTAGCAGCATTAAGGAAAACATGCAGAATTTTTGCTCAAAAAAACATTAAACAACCAAACAAACAACCATTTCATTTTCTGGGACTTGCAGACTAACCAGAGCAATATACACATTATCACTTTATCTTGTTCTAAAGTCAAAAAGATCCATTAAATATTCCTGAAACCACTTGTTTTTTTACTTGGATTAAGGTAAATGAATGGTTAAATGCAACCACTGGATTTTTGATTTGTAAAAAAAGGTGGTCAACTTCCCCTTTATAAATTAAGAGAGATTGGTAAAAATAAATATTTTTCTCTTTTTGCCAAAGAAAACCTCACTAGACACTAGCAGCAACTAGCAAGAACATGATTTATTCTTAAACAAGTATCATGTGTAGTCATGGACTAAAAAAAGGATTAGTTTATGGAAAATGAGAAAATATAGAAGAGAAAAAATGCAAGCCAAAAGCTCAAACTTACCACACTGAGTACAGCCAGTAAGTCAACTGGCACAGGGTCATGTTGTAATCTTGCAACGACTAAGTCAATCAGCAGTTGCATCATGTTGTAGATCCCTTCCTGGATCTCTGTTCCCCAACGATGTACTGCACCAGATGTAAGCAGCTAGATTATAAGATACAAAATATACAAAAGCCTGCTTAAAATGTTGTTAAAACAGTCATTTTCCTTCTACTAATTTCATTTGAAGATATTTCTATAATTCCACGTCCAATCCAAAACAGATCAAAAATTGAAAGTTTTTTTGCAGCTGAATTTCTAGTATGTAAAAACATTATATGCACATACCTTTTGAAAACATTCTGGCATACATCTGTTTAAAAAACGTTTGCAGTGTTCATCACTTTCTATCATATCTGCAAGAAAAAGCAACATAACATAGTATATTTTCCTTAAGACTGATGTTCAAAAACACTGGTCNCCCAACTTCTTTTTCTGTCATAACACTTAAATAAAAACAGAGCATATTTATAAAAATAAATAAATAATTCAAACAGAGAATTCATTTTAAAATAAAAAACAGTATGTGCCACGTTCTTTACATAACAGAGTTAAGGTCAGAAAATTTACATACCATTTGCTGCAAACCTTGTTGCAGCAATGAGGCATTTGCCCAAAGATTCTTCTCTTTTGTACGGAATAGACCAGTTATCTGTAAATACTCTGCCTTCAAGTTCATAGAGGTTTGTTACTGGAAACTCATTTGATTCTTCAGAGTTTTCTTCAGCTCCATCTTCTGGTTTAGAAACTTCCTTCTGTAATACAAAAATTCACAAATCAACATTTGCCAATAACAAACATGCAAAAAAAAAAAAAGAAAGAAAAAGAAAAAGAAAGCATTTATAAACTGGAGGGCCTTGTGGTCAGGGTGTCAGCCTCCAAAGCAGGAGGATGTGGGTTCAACCCGGTTCGCAGACATGCCAGTCTGTCATAAAAGGCTACCTGCTGTCTCCCCGCATGACACTCAGCACTTAGAGGTTGAACCGGGGGTTCAGTTTCTGGTCTGGCAGTGAATGCCATGCTGGTTAGCTAGCTTCCAGTGCTTGGCTGTATCCCCCCCCCCCCCTCTCCCAGGGAGGTGAGAGTACCAACACCCAGTTTGCATCAGGGCCAAAAATGACCAGGCGTTCATTGTAGTCCACTCTGAGACACGTGTAGTGCAGCATATAAGAGCATTACTTTATTTTACTTTACTTTTAGTTTATAAAACTTTGAATCTATTTCCTATTTCTTCTCAATATCCAATTTAAATGCATAAATGTACATGTATGCAGAGGTCTACTAAAACATCTCTTGGATGAAAGGGACAGATACATTTGCTATAAACTTAGAGCATAGCAGGACATTCATCTGGAGTTTATAAACCACAGTTATTCTTATACATACAACAATTGCGGGCTACAAATATCCAAGAATGCTTATATAGGTGCTGTCAAGGCAGCATTAACAAGGTAATATGATATAAAGGGCATTTATGAATGCATGCAATTGTTAACAAGATAATTTTATAGATATAGATATTGTTTGTGCTGGATATGCATTAACAGATAACAATGATTTTAATGTGAGAATGTCATATAAAGAATTGGATGTTATCACTTGGCTTGTAACCAAATTAATGGTTATAAATTGCCATATTTTCCTACTGATATAAAAGATACTAAAATAAATAATTCATCTACATTTTAACAAATGTCTATGAGCTCCATTAAATTATATATTGATATTTTTAATTTTTTTATTTGAAATTTAACACCCTCATTTTATTTTGTAAATTTTCTTTACCTCTACAGGTTCTCCCCCCCCCTCCCCAAGAAAATGGGAATGATCTCTGTTTAACTTTTTACATTTTCAATAATATCCTTCTGACATCTTGTATATTTATTGTACTCTGAATGAGTTAGTACCATAAATGCACAGATGACTAGCAAAAGTACTGAAAACCCCCCGAACTTATTTCCTAGAATAACTAATATTTCGTTCCCACTATGCCTTGTTTTTCTTGATTGTGAAAAAAATTGTAGTCTGAAAATCACATGCAGGTGATGTTTACATCGTTGTCCGCTGTTTTGGACTGTGGTTCTTCTTGGCAATATTATATGGGAGGGGACGAGCCGACATAAACAAATCATACCAATTTAAGTTGCATCAATTATCTTAATTAATTACCTAGTAATATATTTAGCTTTTATATCACCCTATTTTATTGGAAACTTCCATTTCCTGGGTTTCCTTGTGACAAGACTCCTTTATTCCAGTGCATTGCCCTGTGTTGCACCGCGTTGCGGTGTACTGAGCATTATTTTTCGGGAGACCCCCAGGCCAGTAACGTAGTAGTAGTAGTAGTACCCCTGTAGTAGCCGTAGCAGAGTCAACTTTAAATGATGGACAAAGCCACAACTGCCGAAAGAGTGGATATATGTAAATTCACTTCTTAACCAAGTGAATTTATTTTATTTTATTCTCCCTTTCTCTCTCTTTAACAAGCAGGACAATGTGTAACGTGGAGCTGCAGAGCTTGTTGCCACACCTACCTGCTCATGATCAACGACCTCATCATAACTTGGGGGAGGAGCGGGTCCATAAACAGGCGATGTAGTCGCCTGCTTATTTGCCTGATCATCTTTCATTTCGACATCCAACTCTTCTAACGTGTCAAAACTTGAACCCGGTGCCTCGTTGGTCAAAAATGCTACAGCTTCATTCAAATCGTTTTTGCCCAGTCGAAGTGCCCGCCTTACTTCACTCTCGCTGGGAAACCCCATGCTCAAAAGCGTGGAGACGTGTTCCTCATTTACTTCCATGTCTAGCGAACCACTAGCATAATGCCTTAATTCAGCACATTAGGCAAATGAGCAAAATATCTTTTAAAAATGCAATCACAATGTTGCGGAAAACATTCTGGACCAAAAATAGGTCAACTTAGTTTGTCCGCCATGATGAAAACCTTCATAATCTCGAACCGCAATCAGCAGTTGAAGGTTTACATTTCATAGATTCATATATTCAAACATAGTTTTGTGTATCTCTATATTTCTCTCTAATATGCATTAAAATTATATGCTCGAAAGAAGAAAATATAGTCCATACTATCGTTTACAGTTTTAGAGGTTATGAAGCCAATATGACCTCGTTTAATGTCATACTCCAAATTGCAGTCTCGTTCTTCGTATCATGTCATGACAAAAAGGTACATTTTAAATGAGGCCGAAGTATGAAAATGTTCCTGGCGAATGATTAACGATACTAGTTTTCGGCATTTTAACTTGGATTATTTTCCACTACTTTTTGGGTCTACTGAGAGTATATAATTGAATATACTCCATAAAACTCCCTCTCTGTTCTAAACAACCAAAAAACAAGGTTAGGATTTTTTCAGTTATATTCACAAATTGCCGTTTAGACAGGTTTAATTTACAATAAATCGATGGTGGACACCTCATGGTTTTTCTACATTTTATGAGATTTTACTTTTTCCTATTAGGCCTCTATATGTCAATGTAAACCTGCAAGGAATACAAAGATGAACAATATACATTCATAAAACATTTTATTGACATCATTAAAAAGTAATACATGAATATTACCGTAAATACGGCAACTAACTGTAATTAATCAGAACAATATTGACAGAATATACAATTAACATCACTGAGTGAGCACACATCAAATAGCCCTTTTATACTAAAAACTTTCCTCATATATGTCGTCACTCCTTATGATTAGAAAAAAGACTGCACAAATGTAGTGGCATTATGGTTGCCACCACTGCAAAGCAAGCTTTTTCTTAAATACGCTTTTGAAAAACATTATCTATAGCTCAATTGGCAAGAGAAATTCTCAATGAACATTTTGGCTACTGATAAAAAAGAACCACACTGTTGTTCAAAATGTTCTCCACATACATGTGACTAGAAGCCTTGTATGTTCTATTACAACAGTGGTATAACCTTTGGCTTGGAGGAAAAAAACTGGGACCTGACAAAAATGAATGAAAGTATTACAACATAGTTAAAGCAATAAAATATACATTTGAACCTTACTGATGGTTTTACACCATTTTTTTTCAAACTACGGTATTTACAAAGCTGACGACTAATTTTTTTTCAAAAGACCAAGCATAAAAATCGAGACTAGATAACATGCACAACCAATAATTTCTAACCATTTTACTTTGGTCATCTTATATAAACTTTTTTCCTGCTGTTGGTAAGTCGCAGAGGTCTCCTTGGATGAAGGAGAACAATTTAGGCACCAGTTGATTAGACTACTACTATGTCTATTACTAATTCACATTTAAGTAAATAATATCTATCTTGTATGGTGTATAAAACTAAACTGTTATCATTTTCTTCTTTGAAAACTGAATTATTCACTTTTCATTCTAAAATAATAATGTGAACATAGAGATTGTACTTAACTCATAACAATATGTAAGACTTATAGCTCCATGTATACAACTTATCAATCAAAAATTTTATTAACATTTAATCGAATGTCTAGACTATTTATTGGATTCATCTGCCTAGAATTTACCAAAACTTTGTCTTGGGTGTCATATTCACATTATACAAGAAGGGAAAAATGACATTGATTCAATAAGATGAGTGGCCTATTATTTGGCTTGAACACTAGGTTTATATATTATGACTGTATACATAGATATTTCTTGAAAATGTGCAAATGCCTTTTAAAGGCAGATTCTCACCTGAGGTATTCTTGAATACTAGATATTTCCGATTTATTTTTAGACAGAAATGATTTTACATCTAATTGCTTAGGGGAGAAGGAAATTTCTCACTGATATTAGCAGCAAGGCTACTGTAAATGGTGTAAATTGTAACAGCTCACATGCACATCTGGACAGAAATTTCAGCAGAAATCAACAACAACCTACCACCTCTATCTTTCACATTTAGGCCTCCTTTCTGTAAAATTTATCAAGGAACATTCCAGATCAAATTACTCTGAAGAAAATATTGCACCTTCGTAGAGAAAGTCAATAACTGGTGCATCACCATCAGGTCATCACAATAATGCCAGGTGACAGTCAGTGTAAGGTGCATGACAAGAAAGATACTACAATCTGTAATTTTTTCCCATCAAATTAATTGTCTAAAAGTCTGCAAACTCCTTTGCACATTTCTCCGTCGAAGAAATCCTAAGTGGTTCCTCCTCATAATCATCAAAATTACTAGCATCCCCTGGACCTTTGCACTTGGGAATGAAAGGTGCTTCAACCTAAAAAGAAAATCAAAATGTGTTTTCATACAAAAAATGATACTGAATACTTTCAAATTATCTTCATTGTTTGGTTAAAACGTATAGAGGAAAAACAAAGTCAAGTTCAATGATGTCAGACAGATGACATTTCTTCTTAAAAAAAAAAAGAGCCAACGTTGAGTCGGCATATTAAGAATAAAAACATAGAATAGAAAGCTAGGGATAATTTCAGCAATCAAGAATGTTAGTGTGCAAGAGATTTGATATTGCTTGGAAGCTCTGAAGACCCCATATTTATTAGCACCTGTGATTTATATTTATTTCAGTAAAAAAAGGCAAAAACCAAGTTGATGAAGAAGAAATGCAACCATGCACCAGATTAATCTCCTGTAAAATTTATGAGCAACAGAATTCATTATCAACAGCTGCAGCAAGAAGAAAATCATTCCACTTGAACAAAAAATATCATACTTAGATCACAGAATGATGGAAATTGAAAATTAAGCAGAATTTTTTTTTTATTTGCTTTTGCATTTTTGCAAATTTTTTGGAACAGGAAAATTTTGATTTTGTGATTCAAATAATTAAATGCCAACAATTTAGCAGTGCTTGAAGATTGGGGATGGGGGTAAGTTAAACTTGAAACCTTTCTAGAAATCCTCAAACACTTCAGGATAATTTTCTTCGACTGCTATCTTGAAAAGTTTACGGTCTTCCTCATAATCATCAAAATTCTTTGCCACAAGCTCCTTTGGACCTTCCAAATTTACTCTTTCAGGTTTATAAGGAACTTTTTCCTGATTTGTGAAAGAGAACACACATACATAAGGTCAGAAAAATAGTTGCTAAGACCATGCAAACTTCATCCTGCCAAATTTTTATGCCCATAAGCCCACAGAAAATAACATAGTGACTTAGAGGAAATATTTGTACTGTGAAAAGTTTCCTGTCAATATACTGGCCAACAGACATTACCAAATTAGTGATGAAATCATTCACTGTATTCAAGTGGGAATCCAATTTCAGCTCATGGCTGCCAGATCATCATTTCAGCGTTAAGTTTTTTAAATTTAACAATGGACATCATTTGTGGTTCCGAGTCTATCAATTTACCAAGAAAGCTGCAAACAAACAGCAAACATACTATATTAAAGAATGGACAGCCAGGTTTTGTATAGCCATGTTGAGAGCATTAAGATCCCAATTACTACCAGAAGACAGGACACTTCTCTTTTGAAAAGTTGTATCAGCTAGTTAAGCCTGCTATATCAGTATTGGAGGGTTAGACCTCAATAGTATCACAGTATCTCAGATAATATCCTACAAATTTGTTGTTAGTGAACAAAATGTTACAAAAGTATTTGATACAATGACTCAATGCAAAATGCTTAATATCTAAGCTCATAATCAAATTCTACAACTGTTCATATTCACTTTACAAGCACCAATTCAAAAATACTAAGAATCAATAACATGAAGGACACTTTCAGACTTTGCTCTCTTTACTTTAAGAGACAAATGAGGTCAATGTTTGCTTGATCAGATAGTAACTACATCATATAGGTTAATCAAACACTTCACTATTTGCCAACAAGATAACCAAAACAGGATTCTAATGTCACTACCTTCTTTTGATAAATGGCAATCCAGTCTGTTGTGGCAAACCATTTGTGGTTCTTGATATCATTTACACCATTCTTCAGATTTCCATAGCGCTTGGTCAAGTCAACTTGAAGTAAATTCCGCAGTAGATCTTTCAAATCTGAACTGAAGTGGGATGGGAACCTCACCTGGAGAGGGGGAAAGAAACAAACTTGTGATTAAAAAAATAAAATAAAATAAAAAACACAGACACAAATAAAGCAACAAACCATATTATATTTTGATCAGGAATTAAAACAGAAGTTTTCAAAATACATTTATATATTGCTTGTAATATTTATAACAATAGAAGAACTAAAAATGGAATTGTGTCAAAAGGGCATAGACTATATGCATGGATAAAGATGGCAACAGTGTCTCGTTTGTCACAGCAATTTAGAAAACCTTCAAAATGATGATGAAAGAAATAACATTTTAATTTTTTTAAAAAGTATATTTACAAAAATATGTGCTACTAGCCAACATTGATCTTACCTTGCCTGACACAATTTTCTCATAGATTTGGATAGGTTGGTCTGCAAAGAAAGGTGGGTAACCTGCTGCCATTTCATAGACTAGAACTCCTAGGGCCCACCAGTCAACTGCTTTGTTGTAGCCCTAAATTAAAAGTTAAACATATACTTCTTAATCACAAATAATTGTAGTTTTTCTTATTTTGGCAGAGGTATGTATGTACACTTAAGGGCACACGAACTCAAGATACTGTTAAATCCCCACAAATATTCAAAAGGTTACAGGCCAATATTCATTGACAAGTGGGCCAATATCTTATGAGGCGTCAATATGGAAATTCTCCCTTGCCATAAAAAGCAATGTAAACAGCAGTCCAGTATATTGACAGTTTAAATACCAATAGTAAACTGACACTGCCCACAGCATTAATGAGTTGATTCATCTAGCAACTAGAGTAGTAGACAGATAGCAGAGGGATCAATAAATGATACATATGCATTACTCTGTTGGGACTATTGGGATTTCTACAGTCAAAGGCAGCTAACATGTGCACCCAAATTACACCAGTAATATCATATTGAACTCTTGAGATGTGATCCCAACAGATGCAAGGATATAACAAGTATCAATAGACATAGAAGTCCTATATATCTTCCTAATAAACACCTTCAGCTGTCAACTGTTAATATTCACATGATAAACATATTCCATGCATCATTTATAAAAAAGCTTTTTAGAAAAAAAAACATGGACTAACTTTGAATGTTGGGATGGATTCAATAACTATTGGTAAGCATGGGAAAATCGTCATTTGTTTTTTTCACCATAACAAACAGTTGTTCTCCCTTTAAGTAACAAAGATCAGTTCATTAAAATAAATCTTTTTACCTTGCTTAGAATAATTTCTGGTGCTAGATACTCTGGTGTTCCACAAAGGGTCCATGTTCTGCCTTTCACCCTCTTGGCAAATCCAAAATCTGTTACCTTTTGTGAGGAGGCAATTCATCATAACCATTACAAAAATAACATAAGTCTGCAATACATTAGACATCCACATTTAAATGTAAGTACATCTAACTATCACAACAATTTTACACTCTTTACTTCTCAGTTCTCAAGTATCACTATTTAAAAAAATAATAATTCCATTAGAACAACAGTTTATCAAAGGTGAATATTTTAAGTTATTCAGCACATTAATTTATATATTTTAAATAGCAAATCCAACAAGTGCACAGATACAATAGAAATTCCTTGGAAATAAGTGAGAGTGTTGGAAAGTTTTGCCAATATGTCACACAAGCACCAGAGGACACCCCTTACGATCCTTCACACAGACAAGTAGATGATGAAAAAATGTATTGGTAAGTTATACCTGTACAGAGTAAATAATAATGAAAATGTCCTGAAAACAATATTTCACTGCAACAATGTAAGAAATTCAAACCTGAAAGGCAGATGTTGGAAAGTTGAAACAGACATAAGACATAACAAGTACAGACATTTACATTTGAGCAGGGATCACAGCACTGGAACGAACAGGATCACTTAAGTCAAGGCATCTTTTTGTTCATGATTCTACTATATTGCCCAGAAAGTGAACAAGTACACTCATGTTAAAATGGTAAAAGAAGGATCAAAACTTAATGACGTTTTTTTTTTTTTTGGCAAGTCTTTCCCAGTGCTGCATAAAACATTGTTAAAGATATACATCACTATACCATTGACAGCTATAACAACAACATTAAATCTTGACACTACAACATATTTCTCAGAGAAACAACCACTCCTGCCCGCAATGACAACAGGGCTGTCAATAATACTCTCAGCTGATATAATGTTTAGGTTGAAGGCTTGATGACCATTTAGTCCAAATAATTCAGCCCAAACATATAGATTTTTCATTCACCATTTGGAAAATAGTGGCTTTCCGTGGCATAAAGATAAGGACATATGACAAGAAGCTATTCCTGTAATCATTTGGTTGTCTCTCTGATCTATATGCATTATTCAAAATAACAAAGATTCCCCAGGGCAAAAGATGATAAAAGATATCAGGAGTGGATGTTGGGGAAGAGGGAAATATTTTACGGGATTGTGAGGACTAGGGATGTACATTTATTACCACATCATTAGTAAGGCTTGAAAAGATGCTAAAACCTCACTGCTGCAAATGCCTCAGCTTTTAGTAAGTGCACTCTAAGCAACATAATCAATATTTCAACCAACTTTACTGTTCAGAGTAAAATGAATATTTCTGGTAAACCAAATTCCCATATCAACGAAGAACACGGGCCAAGTTTGTGTCACTGCAACAATGTAGAGTTTAAGTATATATGCAGGCATTTTCATTCTGGATAAATCCATCACCCACATAACGATACATATAGTTTCATGCTCTACATGCATTAAGTACATTTTAAAACATTAAAACCACCACAAACAACATCTATGTTGACAACAGTGACACAAATTCAAGTAAATACAGGAGGAATGGGAAGGGAGAAAACGCCACAGGGGATCATGCATACACATCACAGTGTACTGTTTATATATCTATATGTATATATTTATATAACAGTACTTCACACTTTTCAGCAGACCCCTTACCAGAATACAGTTAGCTGTACACCGAGATGCATTATTTTAGGCTCCACTAGTAAAACCAACAGCAGAAACAAAAAGAGAGGGAGAGTACAGAGGCATAAATAAAAAGACTGTGGTATCAGCACATCCCACATTTAATGACTGACATCATACCTTTAGGTACCCCGTTGAATCAATGAGCAAGTTCTCGGGTTTTAAATCTCGGTACATTATATCCAAATGATGCAAGTATTCCAAGACCAACACAATTTGTGCAGCATAAAACCTGGAATGGGGTTCGCTGTGGAGGAAAGGAAAACACATAATATATGGTGATGTTCATTAGGGTTACCATTAAACAACACGACAAAAGGTGCTCAAACAGTCCACAATCATGGTCATGGTGGTGGTAGTAGTAGAACTGTCAGTGGAGGTGGTGGCAGCGTGCACATTTACTTACTTTGATGTACCCCATTGAATCAATAAGTAAATTCTCTGGTTTGAGATCTCGATAAACAAGATCTAGATAATGGAGGTATTCAAAGGCCAATACGATTTGTGCAGCATAAAACCTTGCATGTGGTTCGCTATAGCAAAGAAAAGAAATATTTATACAGGTTAGTAACATAAAGGACAAACAGGAAATGGACAGCACAGGACAAACACAAGGTCTTCACAGACCCCGTTAATGCTCCTACATTGGTTATAACCCTACTTACTTTTAGCCAGCCGGATGAGTCAATAAGTATATTTTCTGGCTTAAGGTCTCTGTATACAAGATCTAGGGCGTGCAGATATTCAAAGGCCAGCACTATTTGTGAAGCGTAGAACCTTGAGTGAGACTCACTGAGCAAAAATAGATTAAAAGTCCACATATAAACATAATACACACAGGCAGAAAAGAGCATACAAAAACTACGGAGGTTACATTAATTCTAGACAGATAATGTTAAGAATTTTACAAAAGCATGCACAGAATGAGAAAAACCTCAGCCCCAAAAGCAAGGTCTACAAAAGCGATTATTTTACTACATATACTACACATTCAATATGGGTACATCTTTGAATTTGAAACAATAAGCAAATTCAAAACCATGTTAAACTGACCAAAATAAACTCCTACTGCTATAAAGGCTATGTTAAATAGTTATAGATATTGTGCAAAATTTTCTTCAACAGCAAACTTTGAAATATGGACATATTTATGTCCATACTGTTTAATGGTTTTGGATTATTTGCAAATTACCTCTAAACAAATTTCTTTCTTAATTTTGCTCTCCTATTGCTAATCCCAATAGGCACCAATTTTGCAGAATCACTTATTTCAAGGTTCAAGGTGTTATTAATTGCGCACCACCATCACAGTTTTCTCATATCACACAAAATATATTACATTTTATGTTACTACCCCTTTCTTATTTTTGGTCATTGTTTCACTTAATTCTCCATGAATGATCCCGACTGAAAAGGATAACTAACATATGCATCAACCAACAAGGATATGCCCACTGTCAATTTTTAAAATTACTCAATGATACTAATGCAATCAAATATGCTACCTCACAACATCATGGTTGGATTCAACCTTAAGTAAGAACAAACAAAATGCATACAAACAGGGCCACTTCTGATACTACTGCTACATTAGTTAAAACATTCAAAGACTGATTGATATATAATTTTTCTTCTTTTGCTACAGAAACATCTAAATCAAATAAATAAATAAATAAATAATAAAATTTCCCTAGCATTTACTACTTTAGGAGTTTTCTACAGCATGCATTCTCGAAAAATCAGCATGATATAATTTACAAATTTGGGTATACAATTTGATGATTGAACCTCTTATCATACATTCATTACATTGTTATCATACAATATTAGGATCTTTTCTCTTCACAGTATGATCTGATATAAATTTCAGAAGACAACACTATGTAAAATTATAATGTGCTCCAAATAAAAGAACCAGACAGCAAAACTGGCAAATATACAGACACTTAACAGAAAAACGCCACTGCTGTACTTTAATATTTATTATTTAAGAACAGGCACATTTCAGTAAACAACTTTTCATTTAAAGAAAAGAGAAGTTTGGCTGTTACAGAATGAACAATGAACATGTTGGATGGCAACAGAGACGGCACGTACAGACACAGAGCAGAATATATATACAGACACACACAGTGTCTGCAAATAAATATTTATGTACCCCTTCCTTCCTCACTTGCAAAAAGATATAGACAATATAAAATAATTTTAAAAACCCACACACAATATTATTGTATATAATATTGCAATTAATGCTTTTCTCAAAAGCAATATGCAAAATCATTTTTTACAAAAATAAAACTAAAAAAAGAATGCTTTTTTAAAATAAATTTCCCAAACAAAATTTATAAGTAGCAGCAGCAAAACTTTCACTTCATAACTGTAAATCATTTAAAGCTTCCATACTGTTAAATGCCACAATAATTGCAAAAGAGAAAAATATAACTTCTTGAGCCAGTAAGGCATCTGCACTAGTTCAAGGACAGAATGCATACACATACAGGGGTTTTAACAAGAAATAATTTCACTAGTTTAACCACTGGTCTCCCTTGGATTGTGTTACATAATACAAATGCTTATTGGGGGTATTTATCCACTAAATAATAAACAATTTATTGGCTGATAAATGACCAATTTTTCACTTAAAATTTTGATATATCTTAATAGTTGATAAATGAAATAAAAAATAAAAAAATTATAGAAAAAAAGCTTTTTTTAAATACTTGTTACTTACCTAAATCTCCCAATTCTTCTTAGATGTGAAAACATTTCCCCGCCAGTTACAAATTCCAAAACCATGTACAAATTGGAGTTATCCTGTGATAAAAAAATACTTTAGAAGATTCTACTACAAAATTAATCTATTTCAAATGTGTTTCACTCATATTTATCCCCTATTAATCCTGATTATAAATTACAGTTTCTGTTACAGGAACATAAACTGTAGCTCCCAAATCTTCATCCCTACTACATATTACAAATTGCTTTAATATATACATCTTGCGGTTCATCCTGTGTGATAAACATTCAAAAATGGTAGCCTACATTTCATAGCATGGTGGCCACAAGAGTTAAGAAATATGTAACTTGGCAATGGAATCCAGTCTCTAGAGATTCTTTGATCTGCTCTCAATCTATGCCATAAGATGGTTCACATTATAGCATTTCAGTAATATGATAATATGCCTGAGAGATGCACAGGGAGTCAACAGTAATTTCTGTGCAATATCATTCATAATGAGTTGTAATTATACAGTGTTGTTGGATTACCATAGTGTTGGTCTTTGCCACACTTCTGTTCTAAATGAAAGTCTATTTTCTACATACTTTCAATTAATTTGCCTATTGTTACAATTTTTAAAAGCACAATTCAAGGGAATCATTTCCTAGTGTTTATGGAACAACTGATCAATAACATACTTACTAAAAATATTAATTCTTATTTTGGCTTCAATAGAAACTGCTTTAACTGTTTCTCAGTCTGAAGATATTTTTTCCCTCAGGTATATCGTTTACTGTGCAAAACCTATTACCATTACCAGATAACAGCCTTCTGAGATCCTACACATTTTTGCAATTTTAAACCTGGAGCTTTAAACCCCTTTCCAAGAACAGGCAACAGAACAGATAACAAATGAAATTTCTGGAAATGACCTAGTTTCTGCAATCAGTCTTCAAAAACAAAGCACTATTAGTGAACAGACAGTATAGTAAAAAGAAGCTGAACCTATGCAGTTTACAAACATCGATAAAATATCTTCAGCACATTACCCTGGTCACTCAAGTTTATTTATAAAGCAAGACTATGTAGAGTTCTGTGCTGAATCTAAAATTAGAGCATGTATGTAAGGTGGCAATGAAGATAATGGATCCCGAAAAATCAATAAAACTCATTGTGAAAAGGCTGTTATTAGACTCCACATTAAACAGAGCTATCACTTGGTACAGGTTCAAAGTAACAGACTGAGGTAATATAATTTTCAATAAAGCTGTAATAAATTCATCTTACAGTTTATGTATATGCTATGACATGGTGCCTGTACAAATACTGTGAAAATATTGACACTCACCTTGAAATGATATTCTAAACTGACAAGAAATGGAAAAGAAACGGCTTGTAATATCCTTTTTTCATTAAGGGTATGTTCCACTTGTTTTAACTTGACAACCTGAAAAGTTGATTGAAAAGGAGAAATATTAGCACAAGTCCAGAAACAATGCCATTTCAGACTCTGGAAGACCAAATATAACAAATGTCTTTAGTAATTACAAATTATCGGAATTAAAATACCATATTCTATGCAGATAATAAAGTTACATTTTCACAGATATTTTCTAATATGTAGACTACCAGAGGAAAAAAAACATATAACATTTTCAAAATTAAATAACTTTCAATTAATAACTCGCCTTCTGTTTGTCCAATATTTTCATAGCATAATACTGCTTTGACTGTTTGTGTTGGACTAGCATAACACGTCCAAAGGACCCTGTGCCCAGTGTTTTGATTCTTTCAAAATCATCAAGACCTGCTGTATTCTACAAAATGAATAAGAAATTCATGAATCTTATGTTACATGCCTTAAAAATAAACTCATAAACACAGACTCAATAATCACCCTAGTGTGTTTATGAAATGTCATATCATTTGCAAGACAAGTTCAAAGAAATATACTCTTTCACTATGTACTGTTTTACAAAGGTTGTCCAGAATTGAGGAGAGATTTGAAATTGATATGCAAGTTCCATTTTGGCATTTCAAAAAAGCGTCCATGGACTACTAAGAGTAAAACACAGAACTTTCAGAACATAAAAAAAAGCATTTTAGTAATTCAGTCTTCTAATTATGTTCATGGATATCCAGACAGTTCCATCAGCAAGGTAAAACATGTTCAAGAATAAGAACTTGGTAACTTACCTGTGAAGGTTTCTCCCATTTGTCACTGAATTCAGCTTTGGCCTGAGCCAAAAAGGCCTTGACTGTAAAATAAGGGGAAAAACAGTCAATTAGCAGTCTTGTACACTTTTCCTATAATGCCTCCAATAATCAAACATAATATGTGACATAGAAAACTAGGTGTATTGTGATTTAATATATAAGAAATAGCCTCCTTTAATCAATCTTTCTTGGCATATGATATGTTAGACAGGAGTGTTTTTAAATGTAACTGATTATGTACACTTCCTTGTTTATAAAGTGGAATGATATTTTTCTGTGCAATTTTCTGTTTAGTAAACAACAGCCATTTTTGGGTGCTGGCTGCACAGCATAAGTATGCTACATAAATCTACTGGTCCACCACTGAAGTATACACAGATGGTTTTATTTACTCAGCTATAAATAGAACTGAATGAATCATTGAATTTCTAATTTTGGCCTTGACTACTTACAAATTTCAGCTTCCCATGTAAAGAAGCTCTTTCGCACCTTTCTATATTACATATACACAAATGCAATTTTCTAATATCTAAGTATAAATCAATAATTTCATTATGATAAAATCTGTACTCAAATATAGGATATTATTAAAATATTATGTTGGGATCGCTAAAATGCTGGTATTTATTCAGGGTTAATGATGGATTAAACTGGTGCAATAGATTGTATTCAATAGTTCTGGTGCATGAAAAATCTCTTAACAGCTACATGTGAATCATAACACACATTTGTACATCTGCAGAACAATGAAATATTCAGTAATTGCCCCTTGCTCATTATCTGTACAAAAATGAAGAGTGATGAAAAAAGACTAAAAACAAATGTACAACACCATCTGGACGTATGTATGTACATATCAGGAGTTGGGTATAGTGAGTCAAATAAGATCTCCTGTACATCAACAACAAATATCATGCAAATTTACCTAAATATATTCAACTTAAATATGCTCTTGATGAGTAACATTTAAGAAATAGCCAATAACATTTTGAATACATCAAAGTTGAAAAATTAAATCATCAACTCACAAAAATGAATATTTGTTAACCATCAATGATATACATTTTGAATACCTAACATCACATAATTCAATCTGATTCAGATTAAAAAGGACAATAAAGGAATGCTGCAAGTTACATCTATGATAAAATGTTTGTTTTGGATAGTTTTCAAAAAAGTACACAGAAACCTTAAGGAATCTTTCTGGTTCATCAATCTCATTAACAACAGGCAATTATTATCCAGATACATTTATTCCATAAAGCGGCTTTAGTTATGAAATAATGCAGATAAAAGCAACACAAGGAACATACCCTTCACAGAATTTCAATCAGTTTTGGAGCTACATGTTCTTGATGATCATGTTATGCCACATTTAAAGCTACACGCTACAGAAGTTTTCTTTTCCCCTTTTTTCTACCCCTGCTTGCAGAAGTTAGCTCCTTGTAAATGCTACACCAGAATATTATTTATGTACATGTTTGATGCATTAAACAGAACAGACTGTCTTATCCATCGGAACTTGGGTTTGAATTTACACTACTTCAGTATCATGACCGACGACACATTCAATCCACATGATAATAATATGGATATGCACCTTTACAATTGATTAACAAATTATTTTTATACATTTCACGACACACTGTCCGAGGTATGTAGTAATCTACTAAATGTGAACTATAAATTTTGATTTAGTTGTCTTTCGGTTCAATACAAAAGATTGTGGAAAAAACATACACCGACGGTATTGAGATATTAACAGGAGTAGTAGTACTTGTGGTACTGATGCACTGTCAATGACAGCAAATAAGACTGCGACTGCATTGCTTATCCCTAAGACGATCATAAATGTAAAGTAATCGACCGATCGAAACTTACCATTTTCTGCTGGATCTAGTTTCTTGGCTGTCTGAGCATTACCCATAGTATAATCAACAAGAAACGCCCAGTTATTTATCTATCTAGACCCAAACTGCAGAAAATTTGTCTTCATGTAACATAGGCAAACAACCTTTCAACACAGCATATACACATGCGCCGAACACTTTTCTCTTTTTTTCAAGATCATTTTCATTATGCTGATGTATTTTAACATTTATTCAAACGGTTACGGTCATTTATCTCTGCATGTCATATATTGACTAATATCAGCGTAAAGTCACATTTTCTTATAGGACTATTTTGTTTTGACAAAATGGCGGAGTAAACTATTATGGGATGGGAATGTTCACATCAACCACAATCGTCGCAGAGAAATGCAATCATACCAACTCAACTATCAGATATATCTATCGATTTCGCTGGGTTTTTGGTGCCCCATCAGCCACGAAAAATCAACACTGGACTGCATTAAAACAGTATTTTGCTCGAATATTATTGACAATAGTCGAGACACGGGGTAGTTAACCTTAATCCTACGTTTGTAGTTTTGTCCCACTGCTAAAATTTTTAGTCGTAGCAAACCCATCATAGTAAAAAATTATAGGCCTAATGATAGGCCTAATAATAAAACAAAAAATAAAATAAAAATAGCCCTAAATTTCGGATCCCTTTTTAATGGCAATATTGCCCTAAATTCAAAAGTCTGTCAGGCTAGAAATCATTGGCGGATTTAGGGGGGTGTCGTGGGGGTGTCGTCGACCCCCCCCCCCCCTTTCATTTCTGAAATAATCACGCTAACGGTCCCCTCTTGTAATTAGAATCTTGACTAGCTGAATCAGCGTTCGCCTTCTAAAATTCCAAATTTTCGGGGCCCTTCAGGCTTCGCATCCACCCCACCCCCACCCCCCCTTCAAATAGGCCTAATCCTGGATCAGCCCCTGTAGAAATTATTGGTAGCACCATGAAATCAATTTTAGTTGCAAAAGGGTAGGCCTAAATGCGCTGGGATGAAAAGGAGCGCGCCTCAAAATACTTTTCGCGTAGCCTATTTTGAAGGCCTAGACCTAATGCGAATTAAGACATGCGCCAATTAAAGCCTCTTATTAGCTTTAGGCCATATTTAGACGCGATTAGGTAGGCCTAAATCATAAGGCTAAATCTCAAGTAGGCCTATAGTTTCATAGTTATATATAGTTTGAGATAAATACAAAGTAACACTTCGATATGTTTCATAAGGCCCTTGTAGGCCTATCTGTAATTTCCATTGAGCAAAACTTTATAGGCCCTACTTGATAGGTAAAATAGGGCCTATTCACATTTTTTGTGTTTCTTTTTATCTAAAGGTCTATTTGTTTTAGGTTATAGCACATGTCATTATCTTGTCATCCTTATTTCTCGAACTAAAATTTTAGGCTTAGGCCTACTACTTAGGCCCTATTAGGAGCGGAAATTTGTTTCCCAAACAAGCACAGGCGCACAAGTTCTCTTGTTTAGGCCTAGGCCTACATTATCGGAATCTGAATGTCAAATAAAAGAAATTAGCACAGGGTATAGGCCTACTTATCCACTAAATCCAACAAAATTAGATTTTTAAAAATATTAATATAATCTGTGTTGTATTTCAGGCAACCTTACTTTGAACTGATTTTAAGACGTAGGTCCCTATCTATTACAAATTTTGGAACACTTTTCAGCCACACGTAGGCCTACTATGAGCAAGGTTATGCACCGCGAGTCCGCCAAATGTTATTGAGAAAAGAATATGCCTATTTACCTTCATTTACATCACATGAATCTAAGGCCCACCTATGAATATACGGTGTGAAAACACCTCATATTCAACACCACCGATTTATGCAAATATTAGTTTAGCGATTGCCATTTTGCATTTGCTTTTATGAATTCCTTTGGTAAACAAATAAGGCAGACTCAAGGCTAACTTTTTTTACCAGGAGAAATTAACATGGGAATAAGCGCGTAGTATAGTGCGTCAATCTCAACCCATTGTCAAACATGAACTTAAGTAATGTTGTGTTGTGTTTTAGTATTTATTCTTCATCCATTATTATATTAAATTATTTACAATTATGGGCTGATCAGAATGATGGGAATCGTATTATAATTGAATTTGTTTATTACTGAGAGCCACAAGCCTATTAGTCTGACCTATACCAAGCATCTTATTATAGCATAGCGTCAATAATTATCTAACTATTTGTGTATTAATTGTTGTTTTATTAATTACCAGTATATGTCAAGGTGTACAGTCAAATAAAAAATCCAAATGATTAACAACGCTGATTACAGTGTGTTAAAATACAAATCAAATATCGTCTTGTATAGATGCTGATTGACATCTACATATAAGGGCAGCGTACAGTTCTTAAAACTGAAGCTCCTAAACATCTTTTTAGCATTTAACCAAGAAAAGATTAATGCACCAGCCTGGATACAACAACGTTTCAAATACCAATGTTAAGCGATAGACCTACACTAACATAACTCTCACAGGACCTTTCATAGGCCTTATTAAATTTGCAAACCCGCCGTATCTAAAGACTTTCAGGTTTACGTCTTTGTAGACAAAGTGCAAAATAGGCTTAACTTTTCATGTGAACAGAAATCAATTACGACTGAAGAGGCCCGATTAAAGTCCAGTCAAACAGTGATATGTAAGCCTTATCTCCATAAAACATACAGTTTTATCACGATAGTGTTGTGCGTCCATATACATGTAGCATGTCTCATGGCAATAAAAACCGCTATCGTCCCATCACAAGCGTGTATGCTAAATTTGGATATAAAAACGCTGTGGGTTAATACAAGTACATATATTGAGCAGACATTAATTATGGACGACCAAGGCAACAGATCGCTTTTGATATGCATGGGTTACCATATATCCACCTAGATATGGCGGTTCACTATACATACTGTATATACAGTGTGTANTCCATATGATGTTAATATAAATGACTGCAATGGTAAATAGAATATAACGAAAAAAGTTATAATAGCAACAGCTATGATAGATGATAGGTGCCTGTTAACAAGGCTAATGGCATTCTAATCCACCGATTTTCTCTACGTACGTAAACCTTTAAATGAGGTTCGCTGTCAGGTATGTTGTGTAGACTAAATTGGAAGACCTTCACCGACTTTTTCGTTCCAGTCTTATCAACATCTTTTTTCCAAAGAATTAACCAATTATGACGAAGTAATATGGGATCGATTTTTTGGCGTTTTGACATTGAAACACTGTCGGAAGAACCGACTTTGGTTCTGAGGAAATGTAAAAGAAATTAAGATCCTCTAAACCATTTTTGTATACACAATAGAGTCTGGGTGCTATTAAATCACGCCGCTCAAATAAACATTCACTGAAAGCAAGCAGCAAAACGGCCAGAGAATAAAGTAACAAAGGGCAACCACAATACACCAACTTATGAAACTTATGAATTATCAATGCTGATCGGTAAATAATTTCAATATGCATATTATGTAACCAAATGGGTATATGTGAAATAATCCGTTTGGTTTCATATATACATGTATGTACTATACTTACAAAACTCTGCTGGCTCCTTTTCTTCCTTCTTTTTGCTTCCAAGTTTAAACATGGTAGATGTACGTTATATTTCTCTAATCAACACAACTTGTAAGACCTGCTTGCTGCTGTAGCAACCTTGATACATATAAATCACGTTGATATTCAATGTCCTAACAATGGATGTATATTCTTAATCGTCCACAAATCATTACCAACTTAGCATTGCCCAAACCGCAGTTATAGAAACCCAAGCAACAACTTAGAAGTGTCGTCCGCCTTGTCTGTTAATTGCCTTTACTTTAATTCTCTTCAGTGTGACATCCTCTCTAACCCAAGTGAACTTCACGCTGATAAGGGCAGCAGTTATCTCGCGAAACTGAGTCGATGTCGTTGAGAGGTATAAAAATACGTGTCACCGGGTAGGACCCTTGAAGCAAAATCACAGAGAGGCACCTTTACGACCTGCGTCTATACGCAAACACCTTCGTTCGGTCGATAAGTTCCTCCTCACTTGTTAGGCAAGGGCAAAAGTTTGCACTATTATGCTTTTACCCCAAGGTCGGCAGTTACTTTATGCTGAATGGGTAAACTTGTAAACCCACAGCGATAAAATAGTGAAAGGAAATGAATGAGCGTGTCCACAAATAAACCCGCGACTGAGAAAACACCTTTGAAAAGTAAGTTGTTTGCGATTCTAAGCACAGGCCCGTCTGAATACTGGGATAGCGTGTGCATATCGACAAGAGCACTGCATTAGTCAGCATGATTACATGTTATGCAAAACTAAAATGTTAACTATTAAAAGTGCAGGGCACTTTAGGCGTGGCGATTTTTATTTTGATAAGTGATAGGGGATTTCGCTGATGAAAACATTAGGCCAATGTAAATAAAGATACCAGTGTCGACTAAACGTTTTCTTCCGTTCATTATGAATAACATCAATTTCATCTTCTTACGTCAAAATCAGTCAAAAGTTTTAAGGTTCAGACAAAGTTTTTACGAAAACGAGACAATTTTGTCTTTGTGAAAGAGTCCATAATTTATATAACTTACTCTGAATTAAGTGTACTATCATCTATTAGACGACGACAGAAAAATTAAAAATCTCGTCTAAATGCTCTACATGTTTAATAGAACTTCTTGTGGATTAGAAAACACCGATGAATTAATTATTTTACAATGTAATTTCTATCCGTTCCCCTATTGCCCCGCCCCCCATCCAACCCAATATATATATATATATATATATATATATATATATATATATATATATATATATATATCAGATAAATGTAATTTTTCAATCGCTTTTTTTTTAAATTCACGGCACGAACGTATTTTTAAGTTTGTCTGAAGGAATCTTTTCCATTCCATCGTATTCGCACAAATGCGTTAGGTGAGACTGAATGCTTGGCTGTGCAACAGCAGGCAACACACCACTACCGAGTTCCGAGTCTTGTACTGGAAGTGTCATTGGCGGTTTGTCCTAGTTCTTCTATTCTTTGAAGGGCATAGTAATTAGTGAAAAATATCAATCTTTCAGATATCTTTTGTATCATTTAGTTCAAAGAACCCAGTCTATTACTGCTGTTTTATGCAAATCTGATTACCATAAATCAATTCTTTCAATATATAGAGGGTTCTGTGGCTGATTTGCCTTAGACATAAACTTAAATATGCCACCGAAGCACTGACCCTCCTTGTAAAAAAAAAAATAAATAAAATAAAATCGAAATGCATGTCGGCACATAATGACGAAAAACAACAATGATATATTTTTCGACTAAAAGTTAATTCAGAAAATTGATCTGGAAAACATGAACACGTCTGGTAACAATGCCTTGACGACAAATTTTAAAAAGGCGAAATTGTCATGGTACAATAAAGGGACACATAAGGGTTTTCTTATTATAAATATTCTTAATTTTTTTAAAGATATGTTATAGACATGTTTTGGAAAATAAATGAAATTGCTAGTTCTATTCAAAAAGTGAATTTCTATCCGATGTGAAAATGCACGGAAAGCATGTAGCAGTCCACTCGGTTTCTATAGATAGCTTAATAATCAAAAATTAAAAAAAAAAGGACGGGATGGGTCGTTTTTAATTTAAAAATTGCCGTTTTTAGGCAATACTGACTATATAAACGTTGCATATAGCACTGCGTCTTGTATGGGAAGTATGCTAATGTTGGCGTCCATCAAGACGAGGAAACACACAACGTTGAAACTAACGTATAAAAGAACCCGACATATTTTCAGCATACGCAAATTTTTGTTATGAGTTCCCAGACGTCTATTCTACAAATTAACTAGTTTCAAGTTTGGAGCAACGTCGACATTACTATGCTCACCATAGCTTGAGTGTTTTGCTTTTAAGTACGGACCTCGTTGAATTAGTTTATACTAGTAGTGTGCAGGGTGCCTGACCCTAAACTAACCGTACGTGTATAACATTTCCTTGTACACATATCCTTTTGGATCCATACTGAGAAGATGACGTCAAACTCTCCAACTTTTATATAGGTCCCAAATTACCCGCCTTATCATATCTCGGTTAAAACGTACATGTACACCGACGTAAGACGCCAGCGAACGCAACAGTAAAAATCTCTCTTACAGTTCAAAACAATCAAGAATTAATATGGCTTCTTAAGTACCCAACTCTACACAACTTGTTTGGAAATGTCCATCACTGACATAGTAAGAAATTTCAATTTCGGATTCACAGAGGTCTCTTATAGAAAAGCCTTCTAAAAGAAAAATACAAAAATAAAACCGATTTGTAATCGGTTTGAATTCGAAGCCGTTTGAGGATAAACTTACATTGTATCGATGCAATATATATATATATATATATATATATATATATATATATATATATATATATATATCACTTTGAATTCCTTAAGGGCTCAATCTATATGTGTACCAGCGTAAAGCCAAAAATATATAGATTTTGAAAGCATATCAAATTGAAAAGTAAAATTAGTTTCGCTTTCGGTTCCTATCGGTCACAAATCGCCTAGTGAATATGAGCCTATATAAAACAAAAAACTCAAGTCAATAACTGGAAGATTTACAAAAAATTTGACAAGCTAGTGATCAATCTGTTGACTCACACGTTTTGCCTGGCCTAAAGATACACCCAAGCAACACTCTGGCATAAATACATGTGTAATTCCGTTGAAGCCTTCGTCATATTTTCGTGCACGTGATAAGGATATTACTGATTATCTTGCACAAGTTGCAACTGCTAATGAGATACAATTACTTTTTTATAGCGACGAGGCGCACACAATCTCGCTAACGACCATACAGCCGCCAGTTTTCGTCGTCAATAGCACCAACTAATAGGTCCTGGGGAATTAATTGCATGCATTTACAGTGTAAATCTGGAGTGGCATTGGCTACAGAGATGATCATTATGACGTTAAAACAATGTCATAATTAGTCTGTTCCTCTTAATTGCTGTGGTAAAAACTTACTCTATGGTGAAGCCAAACTTTTCTATTTTCCAAACTACATTATTATATTTGGTGCCTAACAAACTTTCATAGATTAAAGGATGCATTCTATTGCACTGTATTTAACAGAAATGTATTTCCCGAAATACTTCAACACGAAGCATATCAATTTAGCATGATACGCACCGACACAATTCATACATATACTCACAGAAATCATTCCACAGGCGGACTCTCTCTCCGAGAACTGCGTACTTTTCTGAAGTACTCGGGCTATTCTTTGGAGATCCAAAAAAATTCCGAAATATATCGGTAACTTTTTTGGGTTGTCCTCCACCGTGGTCCGCGGCCATGGCCATCTGGAGGTGGCTTCTGGGGCTTTCCTGGAATTATAAATTCGTACAACGTCTCATTTGAAATAATCCAAGCTTGTGTTTTCTACTCTTATCTAGATCCTGCCAGGACTACTGGCGGATGTGATTTTCTTCCATGACGTCTGTCTGGTCTGGTAGTGTAAGTTTGTTAAAATGCAAACACGGCGAGCTCTGTACTATATTCAAAACATGTCAAACAACATTGGCTGAAGGCAGAGGCCCAATGACGTGATTGGACAAGCTGCATATGTGAGCTCGTCTGGAGGGAAACATTTGATTAAAAGAGTATGGAGAACTATCTGACATCAGTTCATAAATCTAATTAAGAAACATCCACAAAACCCATTTTCTTCGTAAAATGGATGATGCCCAGTGATGGTCAGTTTATAAACGTACTTCACAACGCACGGACCACTAACTGGGGAACTGGAGTTGAAATCATTTATACATGTATAAGTTTGTATGACGCAGAAAAATGTCATTCTTTGATGTTGGTTATCTTTATCAAAACTTTTATAAGAGTGATAATGCACCAAACACTGACAAAATGATAATTCTTCTTCCTCTACAAGAACACACTATATCTCACAATAGGCGATAGGTCTTGGGCAATATCCTTTTATATTTGGCTGTTTTTGGTTTAATTTTCAAAGGGAATGCTCGGGATGGTAACGTAAATATTTGTACTATACATCTTCACAGTGTTTAGCGTCTTACGTGTGATATGCACGATGCATTACGCGGGCTGTGAACCAAATGGTAACTGCAGATCTGTATACAAAGTAATTGGATACTTGGTAGAAATGTTGAAAAACACCGCAGCCATTGCTGTACCAGAGAGGTTAACATAGCGTGCGCATTACTCGTGCAAGCGAGTAAGCACTTTATCAGCAGTTTCGTGAGATTTTCTGTTCAACATCGAGTGTAGAAGATCACTCAGGATTACAAAGGTCACCTCATCGTTTTTAGACGAATATCATACAGATAGTATTAAGATACATGTGCTGAGGCACGTTGTTTTTCTCCACTTAAACTAGAACGGGCTGTGTACTGTGGATACCATATGATCTGTTTCTTGTTACAGAGAGGAAATAAAGGTGTTAAGTAGAAGTCGAATACATGTATATAAACTGGATCTTTAGACGTTTTTATGGTCTCAACTTACATTAAAAAAGGTTTATACTATCCATGAAATCTTTAAGAAAACAGATTATCGAACGCGGTAGGCTGAAAGGGGGCAGGTAGGAAGAAAGAGTCCGATCTCCAAGAGTATGAATTTACAAATTTTCAGAATGTATACCAAAACACTTCTGCACGTTTCCCATTGCCTCTAAGAACGTTCGCCAAAACTTATCACCAAGTGCAATACACATCCTCGGACGCTCACAAAATTCAGTTTGGATAAAAGGGTCCGGATTAAATACCACAGTAAAAAACGGCACACTTACCCTTATACTACGCCCAAAAGAAAGACTTTCACCAAATATCATATGGGTACAAAACCCATAAAATTACTGGAAGAGGAGCCCGGATATGTGGCATATGGACCGCATATTAAATCGTGCAATCTAGGACACACTTATTAATTAGGCCTAGAAGCGAAATCTAGCGTTTATACTTAGAGCTATCTATACATATTGGAGGGCAAGCCTCTTGGTAAAGATGAACAACATTAGTTCCCATTTATATGAACCATCCCTACATCTTAGTAAGAAAGCTACCTGACATTTTCATACATACCTAGTGAAAAGTTGAAGGTCCAGCTGAAAGTGGGTTCCTTTATGCGGGGTATCTTTCACACTCTTGTGTTCTATTTCGGTGCATAGGTGCGGAACACGGGAGAGCGACACTTTAATTTAGAAGTAGGGCAACGGTATGCCTCAGCCTCCAGCTGTCTACCCTCTTCAACAGCTCAAAGCTGACATCAAAATTCATCTGTAGCAATTTTTTGACGCAGATATGTTGCATTTCAGTTTATTCAAAAAGCAAATGTAAAACTTAACAATTCAGGAAATTGATTTTGAAACCATTGGAGATATAACGTCAACAGACAGCACGTCAACAATGACGAAGTCCGTCTTATCCGTTTGGTGTGCGGTGAGGTTGTTTGTCATGGTTTGTACCCCGAGGCTTGTACGTCAACCTTGATATAGATAGGACATTTAATCATCCTCTTTTATTTACCAGGTTACATGGGTCATGTCCAGTGTCCCTTAGACTTTAATAAAACTTTGCTGCTAAAAACACAAGGAATGTGGAAAGTTCGGCAAACCAATATCACATATATAAACAAGTGAGAGGACTAGCCTACGCTAATTGGTACTAAAACAGACAAAAACAGACAGCTGGCGATGTAAATTCCGTAAATTTAACAAACATACAGGTTGATCTCCTTTATACATGTGCACTTGTCCATAATTCGTTTGTGAAACTAAGATGTAAAAAATGGAAATCTGAAACTATACAAAACACCTACCACCGGGTCACGATATCAGCTTAGAAAAGACCATGAAAGTACAACTGTTGTACTTCCATGGTAAATTCCTAATAAAACGGCTTTCGCTCAATTGTTTTAATGTAAAGTTACAGCTTACGAACTACACAACAAATGATAAACCTTTTTAACGTAATTAAGTCTATCGTTTACGTGCTTTTAAAGTACATTTGTGTGTAAGAGACGTTTAAACTGGCGCGTCTGGCAGTGATACCAGTGTATTAGTTTTGATCAGTAACCCGAGTCAATCGGTTACTTTCTACAAACTGTAGTTTCAAATGTACTTTATTTGTTTGGATCTCATAATGGGATGGGATATTACTTAAAAGCAATTTATCTTTTAAAACGATCTTTTGATTACCGCAAATGCATCTGTAATTTTTCAGAATTTTCTAAAAGTACGTTGGTTTTTCAGTTCGGTTTATTTTGTTATTCATATTGACGTGCGATTCAGAACATAATCACACTCAGTGTCATAGTTTACTGGCAACCTAGCTGCATTATCAATTTGCCTAGCTGTGCCGTTTCCAGAAGGGAATGATCCGCGCACCAAAGAGTCCGCCGTACCTCCCCCATTAGATACGTACTGGTTTGGGTTCGAGTGGCGTTAACAGGTCAAATTCTAGAAACGAAAATGTTGGGGGGGGGGGGGGAGGAATGAGGGCCAACCCCATAGTGACTTAACATGGACAGAATTATTAGATAATTATAGGTCCTCTGTATAGGAAACCAAAGATGGTCAGCTAAAAATTACTGAAGTTAGAGACTGGTTGCCAAGCAAATGTATAGGTTATGTGCCGCTCTGGGCGCATATATGATGTTAGAATGATGCATCAAAAGTGTTTTTTAAGCAATATAAATCACGACATCATTTTTTGCGATCAGATATTTGTTTGCAATCCTTTTTCCTGAGTTTCCAAGGCCAAGGTTATATTTTACTGCCATTTTCCAGATTAGTTGCCCACTCAGAGACTAAAATTACTGAATTTACTCAAAACATAGTATCGCTGGCCCATAGAGTGGCTAGAAGATGGACAACGGGGAAGACACCTTGTGCATTGGTGAACGGTAATGGATCATTCTGTAAAGTAACTTTAAAAAGTAAAAGCCTTCGTCTATAAATGTAAACACTTCAAAGTATTTCCTTAGTTTGAGAATTATGTCACATTAGTTGGGCGTACTTGTAACTGTGATTCTTCTTACTAGAGTTGTGAAATACTGTGCGGAATGTGAACAGGGAGAACATGAGAAGTTTACACCGCAGTCCACGCTGGAGAATAATTAGCTCAAGGGTATATGTTTCTTCAACCAAAAAAAGAATGTATATTTTTATCTTATCAGCCTGGGGGAAATATGACTAAAAGCGTAAATTCTTACGCTTATACAGGAGACAATTGATTATAACTGTACAAAAATATTTACACCAATATGCGCACAAACCCCCAGTCTAGGGTTCATATGTGACTTTGGGCAGATGTACAGTATTTGATGTATGCGTTTCCTAAAAAAAGTCTCTTTTGAGATTTGCTACATTCCATCAGTGTCATCCTATTTCCATAGATTTCATTTAAGGACACAGGCATTTATCATCTAATCCTCATTTTTTTCTTCCAAATACTCACTTGGGATCTTGAAAGAAATTTTACTGTTTTTGTCTATCCAGTTGTCTTGTAGTAGCAGAGCCGTTATTACCAACAAGTTGCTAAGTGTGCACTGTCGGCTTTTTAATGTTTTCTTGTTGCTATACATCATAATATACATCATTAATCCAAAGAATCATCTATATTAACAATAACATCTAGTACTAACAATCTTCCTGTTAAAGGCAGGAAGTGCTGGGAGGTATTGAAGATGATATATCAGTGCTATATGAAACTGTTGTATATTCCTTTACCACATTTAGGAAAAGTTTCATGTGCTAGCCTAGGATTGTATTTTTATGAAAGAACTTTGTATTCTGGGACAAATCATTCATTTATTTTGGCGGGTTTAGAGGGGGGGGGGTCAGGGCAGTCCTGACCCCCCTTCTGTTTCTGAAAAAAATAATCACACCAAAAACATCTTTCTTGTAACCTTGAAATTGGAATTTTGACTAGCTGAATCACAGTTCTAAAGCATACCAAATGACACCGTTTGCCCTCCAAAACACCAAAGGGGCAAGGGTTGGCTTCACATCCGAGACCAGTCATTCCTAAAAAACGCCCCCCCCCCCATCCTTCAACTAATCCTGGATCTGCCCCTGCCATCACTAGCTTGGGACTTCTGTGAAAAATTGTATTGATATCTGCTCTGGTTACCTTAAACCATGTAAACCAAAATACGTACCAGTATGCATTTTAACCTAAATTTGTTGCATTTAGTGCACCTTCAGTAAGATTGTTCTTCGTATGATGTTAAATCTGAAAATCTTGTTTAGTCAGTTTTAGTATTACATAACACTGTGTGACATAGGTTGTGACATTGTGATCTTCAGCTCTTTGAAATCAGCCCCTGTAATAATTTGGCAAATGATGATACTTCGTGAATACTTTCCTTTCTGTTATAACCTCAGTAATTGATATGGACATAGAAACTGCCGATGGTGACAACAGCGTCCCTTCCTTGATTGCATTTTGTTCTGACCAGTAAAATGTTCTTTACTACTACTGCTGCATAAGCATCAGCATTTTTTCAATATTGATATTGATAAATGATTCTGTATAGATTCTACCTGTTAAAAGTTAATCTATGCATCCTCCAAGGATTGCACAACACAACGAGACAACAGCTGCTCATTAATTTACACTGAACCATCACATGTGGTTAATGATGTGTCCAAGTTTCACTTGACACAAGTCTCTTTGCATAGTCAGTATTTCTATTTTATATACAGACACAATGTTTGACTGTTCATCATCGTCATCATCACTGTTCACCTATAGCTGTCAAACCATATTTATGCTTCTTTTTTCAAATTCATTAAGTGGCTTCTCTTGATTAAATGTTGCCATGGTTATGTAATATTACAGTGTATGAATAAATGAAGATGAGATACATACCACATGTTGATATCTGCTGTGAAGCACGTCACACATTGTACGTCTCCTGTTTACAAGTTGTATGGCATCTACATACAATATACAGTTAGTATATGACACCCTTACTTGTGTTGTATAGACCACTTTCTTCACATATCAATTCAGTTTTACATTGGATTTCACATTTATCTTTAAACTTGGTTAACATATACAATGAAAACTTTCCATTATTGGAAATTATATGGTGAATTATTGGAAAATAAAGAAAACTATATTTAGAGAGAGTTGGGATAATTTTGAAATAAGTAAAAAGCTTGAATAAGTCTCATGAAATTTAGTTCTTTATTCTTTCCAATATATGACTGGAAGCTATAATTTCAATACAAGAGGTCACTGTATTTCGCAATTAAAAATAAAAAACAACAACAACACTTCACTCTTCTGTAAAGAAAACTTGGATTCTCTCTGTAATGCAGTCTTTTACCAACTTCATGTCTTAGTAAACAAGTGAACAGAAATGCCTGCCATACTTGTTTTTTCCTGTTGTCAAACAAAAGAAAAAAAATCAAAAGTTAATTTTCTATCAATTACAGTTATATCAATATTGAATACTGTATTTTAGTATATGTTAACAATGGCATGAAGTACATATAAAATGTTGCATGATGCAAAATAAATACTTCCTGATCTGACGGATCATGTCATGGATATTGCTGTGAAAATATTGCACTACTGTTACTTAGAATGTATGACAACATGCAGCACTGGAATAACATGGGTACATGAAATGACACCCATTCACCAAGAAGTCAGGACTTTTCAAATGCCATTTTGTATGAAAATTTTATCGAACATAAATTCTAGAGCTTTTGCACACAATGGGTGGAATGCCTTTTATACATTCTTAAATAAATTATGTCCAATTATATGGTGAATATTAACAGTTTTACATCCAAAGATATACAGTGCAACAAATCACGTAATATATACACTCAAATGTACATATGTATCATATGTATATATTCTCAAAAGCCACATTAAACATGCATCTCAGCACTTGTTATATAAAACTGAACAATTCAAATGACACAAGTCCGAAAAAAATATATATATTCTCATATGACCTTTATGATATAGAATGTTGTGACACCCTGATAAAAAAATATAATCATAAACAGGATAGACACTGCAGTCAAGAAAGAGGTCATCATTCAAAAGCCTCGATTCTGGCACAGTGTGTTTAATTTGGATCATCATTTTTCAACCAAAAGCTACACGTAGATCCTGTTGTTATGGAGTCAAAACTTCTGTGGCAATATTATGCTGTAGGACTTGGTGACATTATGGAGCTATGTATCCATTTAAATACATTGCAGTTCCCAATACTAGATTTTGAGAGGTTAAAAATTCTAAGTTCAGTATTCTTTTTTATCCTACTGACACAGGCACACCTACCCTAAATAAATAAGGCAATTAGGGCAGTTGAAATAAACAGGCAAAAACTAAAACTTTGCTTCACTTGCATGTGTTTACTTATAAAGATCCATTACTCTTCTCTGTAATGTGCTGTATTGCACATATAGCTAAAACTGATAAGAAAATTAAAAAATACACCACAGGACAAAAAGTCTTGACTTTTATCAATTCCATCTTAATATGTATAATATTAGATTTTAACATAACATTAATAAACAAGGCAACAACTGTTAAATTTACGGTAGACACCATTTTATAAAAACCAAAAATCTGTACAAAAGAATTATTGAATAATCAATAAGATAATCATTTGATTAAAGTGGCCAACAGCACTTGGCTTTGATTAAAACAACTCCACAGGAACTTGAATTGTTCTGAAATGGCTTGGTTCTCTAAATCTATCAACCAAAGAACAAATTCATTATTATAAATTACCTTGGATGTATTCATTAATGCAGAAGATTCTGAATACTTTTGTCCAATTTCTTATATGATTCCATATCAACATCTTTTCTGTTTGACTGTTTCTGATGTTCCTTTCTCCTGTCTGAAGACAAATCTATAGTTTCAAGTTTGGTACCATGATCTTGTTCTGTTACATTAAGTGCTCTTTGTTGCTTTTTCTTTTTGTGTTTTTTATGCTTGTGATAGCCATCCTGAGGACCTGTCCCCCATTCCTTGGGCTTGAAGCCATCAATAGCAAGGCTGAAAAAGGGTGAATAACATGCTCTGTTAATAACAGGGGCGGATCCAGAGCTATTTTCTGACAGTCTTCCAAATTATCTTTGTTGATCAATCCTCCAATTTTGACCGTCTTCCAACAGAAAAAATTACATACCTATCTATGTAAACCTGAAAATCTGACCGTCTTCTGGAAGGCCCAGAAGACGGCCTAAATCCGCCCCTGAATAAGGCCAAATCATGCCCCTTAGTTCTGCCACCTATGACTCTAAAGTTAGAAAGATGACTTGCCTGACATATATATTCACAAGACATAAAGGTCACTGGTTCAAGCTATACAAAATTACGAAAAAAATGTATATAATTTCTCAAACAAGAATAATGACACTGGCTGCATTTGCTGTGACATCCAATACTAGCACCAAAATGTCACATCCAACACAACTTATCCTAATAATGTCACATGCAATGCACCAAACACAATGAACAATAATATGTTACCTAGATTCTGGCATACTCTTAGATTTAATATGCCTGTTTTGTGGTTTCAAATTGTTATCCCAGGATGGTGGCGTTGGTGGTCTTCCTAAACCAGCTTCATGACTCAGGGATGCTACCCTATTATTCATGTTTGGAGGAGGGTAGGAGGCCCCTGTGTTTAAACAAAATATCTTCAAAATCTATATTAACAAAGCTCGGTTTTAACTTATACACAACAGAAAGAATCCTGTAATTTAATAAAGTTTTCATAAAAAAAGGGACATCAGTTAATTTTATGTAAATGATCAATCTATTATAATACATCAATCATAACGGCTTCTTTTTGCAAATTAAGCATTTTCCATATATATATATATTTTTTTTTTTTGTATGTCAAAATGATAACCTGAAATACAGACTATCACCCACAAAGCATCCCAATACTGTGAACAGTAAATTAACTGCTCTGAAATTATTTTTTTTGTAAAGGAATATGCTACACAGAGTCATGCACTTACCAAGTTTAGGTTTAGCTCCTTTAATAGGTGCCAACTGGTATTCCCTGCTGGGAGGTAGAGAGGGGACAGGTGACAGAGCATACTGACCTGGAGTGCGTAATGGTAGTAATGCTCCATCGGAGACTGAACTCTGAAAGAGACCAATATTAATGCTGCATATAATGGAACAAGATGACACATGACACATAAAAGCACTGAGGCAAAGTGACATAAACATTTTCCCTTCTGAAGTCCAGAATAAGACCGTCAACAAAACTTTTTGTTAATCTTAGTTTTTTCTTACTGATGAACTGATCACTTTTAAATTATCAAAAAGGTAAAGTAAAGGTTTATGGCCTATTCTTAATAAATAAGATCAGCGAACTTAACAATTTACAATTTTGCCTGGTCTTTACGGATTAGTAAATGGATTTCTTTGACCCTCCCTGAGCTTCTGAGGTACCCTCTTCTCCCCTTTCTCCATCCCAACAATATAATCAGTAAAACAAGACAAAACCAAGAAAGTTTTCCACCCCTGTGCCCAGCATATCATAGCAAAATAGTCCTGTCTACTTCATATTTACCAAATAAAGTAAGGGAAATTTTTTATCCTTGCCCCCCCCCCCCTCCAATCCCCCAATTTAACAATTTCAGGTGATCTCAAGATATCCATTCCAGGTTCAACAAGTTTAAAAATAACACTGAAAATAACATACTAACCATCTGACTCTTAGGTGTGTCTGACCTGGCGGAGAGGTTTGTATAGCCGAGCTGTAACCCCAGTATGAATTCTGCATCAGCTGGCATCTGCTGAGCATGGTGATGACGGAGTAAAGGCACAGGTAATGACTGTCTGTCACTGTTAACAATTTTGCCCTTTGAGTTTTTCTCTCTTTTTGGAACTTGGCCATTATCACTATTATTTTGATTATATGCATTCTCTGACACACTTGCAGGTCCACTATCCTTATTTGATTTAAGGGATGTTCCTCCATAGTCATTCTGCTTTTGAAAATCTCCTGACTCAAGTGTACTTGTTCCACTTCCTTCACTTTCATCAAAATCTGGAGAATTAGCCACTGTACTCACTCTCTCTGATGAAATATCTTGCTCCTCTTTTGATGAACTTTTACTTTTGAAAAAATCCACTATAAATCCAAATGGATTTTTGGAATGTCCACTCTTATTGGCTACATTCAATTTTTGTTCGCTCGATGTCTTTTGTTCCTTTCCTGTGCTTTTCATTTTCTTCTTATCACTTGCTATAACTCTGTATTCCAGTAAACGTACACATTCTGAATTGGCAAAATCAGTATTTTTAAAATACTTATTTGGCTGTCAGAATCAGTTGATAGATGCATATTTTCAATACCTCTTAAAATCCTTTTACATTTTAATCATCAAAATATTAGCATTTGCGGCCTTGACACAATAATGTGATTTTCTTTACTGTAAAGATACAGTCAAATTTAACCTCAGAAAATTAAACCAGTCTTTCTTATACAGAAATAAGGGTTGTTTTACCTTCATGTCCACACTGTCTAGCATATTCTAGAGGTGTTGCTCCATCACAATCATGGACATTGGCATTTACACCAAGCTTGAGTAAAGTGGCCACACATTTGGATTGTCCAGTGGCTGCTGCCCAGTGAATTGGAGTTCTATATGAAATATATTTCATAATAATTTTACTTTTTGAAAAATTAAATAGGTCTTTTGAAGCAATGTGATTAATTTTCAGTGATATATACGACCTGTGCCATGAGTAACATGAAATGTTGCAATGACATCAAACTCTGCACTGCCTTCAAATATAGAATTAGCATTTTTAAAGACTTTAACTGAACCAATCAGACACAGTGACAGATTCAGGGGAGGAGGGCAAGGATATATACTTATTTTATTTTATTGATTCTTCAGCTCCTGAACCCACTCCTGCTTAATACGTTTTTTATAAAATAGAGCATTTGTAGTGGTAAGAAAACCAAAGTACATGCATCCCCCAATCATTCTGCAGCCCACTGAATTCCATCTGAAGTCAAAATCACCCCACCTCTCATCAGGATCCAAAGTCTCCAGCTGACACCCTGCTGTCCCTGCCAGTTCACGGATGACTTTATAGTGTCCAGCAGCAGCCGCAAAGTGGACAGCGGTCTTCCCCGACCCGTCCACCATGTTGATCAGTTTGTTAGCATTCTGTGACCTAAGCAGAGCAGTTATGCAAGACACACTGCCATTCTGGTAAGAAAGAAAAAAATTGATTTAATAACAACTTAAATTGGGATCCTCAGAAGACTGTCAACAGTAAATTGCCAGGTATTCAACATTTGTAGTAAATGCTGTATTATATTTTCTCCACATTGTACTCTTTAAACTCTTTTACTTCAGATTGAAATAATTTGTTAAACAAGTACATTTTTGTCTAAATTTCTAATGTCTGGCAAACTGCATATAGAGGTTGGGGAGGGTCCATGGCATACAATGAATTTAATTCAAAACCAAATCTATCCTCATTCATGGTAGACATTTTCACAAGGAGAAGTTCAATCTATGAAAAAATGGCAATTGCCATTTCCTTTCCCCTAAGTACTAGTACATATACCTGTGCAGCCCAGTGCAGTGCAGTTTTGCCATCCATGTCCTTTGCAAACACATCAGCACCTTTCAAGACAAGTAATTGCACATGGTCTGGACGGTTGTGAAAGGCAGCCCAGTGGAGTGCTGACATTCCCTGGAATACATCAGGAAGTTTGTTCAGTACATATTTTTCAAAGCATTGGAAGTGCTAATGTATGTGACAATTTTTTCTAGGCACACTATTGACAATTAATACTTTTTTCTAGACATACATGTGGTTACAAAGTAGTATAATGAAGTAGTATAATGTCAAGCATAGCCATATTTTTGTTTTCGTAACTCAGATTTGTTTCCAGACAAAACCTTCACTTTCTTTTTTTCGCTCAAAGTTGATTTAAAAAAAAACATTTAAGCAAAAGCAAAAGAATCTCCTCATCTGCCACTGCGATACCTTGCACAGCTCACCTCATTGTCCTTTTGATTGATCTCAGCTTTACTTAGGTTCTGAAGTAGTAGTCCCATTGTTCTGAAAAAGATGCAGAAGAAACAGTCTTTGTACATTATTGAAAATTCATGGAAAACAGAAAACAGTTGCCTAGTGTTAAAATCTATTGGATATACCCATAAGTATGACAAACTGGTAGTTTTACAATATATTTTTAACTGCATAATATCATATTATACTCTTATAAAAATACATTTTAATTGATAAAATTATAAATAACACCCCAATTGAAAAAAATAAATAAATAAAGAGTAATTTAAATCTTCAGAATATGTACAAAAGTGAAAGTGTAAAATGCATGCAGTCCTTCTGTCAAAATATGTGATGGAAAATGCATATATCTGTGAAAATAAATATGAAGATAAATAAATGACAACAAAATCATCACTAAAAATCTAATATCCCACACCTTTTACCTTAATCCATTCTTGCTACAATGGCACCAAAAATATTTCATCATTTCAATATGCAACAAATTTGGACTTTATTTTGATACACAGCTTGGGTTGTGCTACATTTATTATCTTGTACATTTTTTTCAAATAGTCTGCCCATAAGTTTCATAAGCATTTTGAATGGTCAGCAGAATAAAAGTAGTAATGCAACGTTAAATAGGTTAACCTTAAATTAAGTACATTTATTAATTGTTGATTTCTAAACAGCATTTTGAAAGCTTCCACTCAATTTATAAAAAACCTTTGGTCATTATGTCAAGGTTTCCACACAAAACTTTACTCCACAAACTTCAGGGGATGAAGGTTAAAAAAAATTCTGCACACCTAGTTTCAGAATCATATGTTGATGCATGTAATGGGCTTCTCCCAGACTTGTCAAATATGTTCTGCTTGGCTCCATGGTGAAGTAGGAAACGAACACCATCATACCAGCCCTTAAAAAAACAGTGAGTAAATAAGATAAGCCTTTACTGATAGAATGACCAACATTTACCCATATTTAAGGATAAGTTGTATAATATAACTACAAAAGCAAACTTTTTTTAAATCACATACCTAGCTTTATGCTTTGTATAATAGTTTGCTGAATAAGTTTTGTGCCATGTAAATATGCAACTTGTGTCAACAGGTGGCATTATAAAATAAACTCCATTTGTAAACATCATCTTAAAATGTATATAATCTTACCACATCTGAATGTAACAGGCATACCTGATATGCTGCCATGGCCAAGCATGTCCTTCCTACATTATCTACCACATTAATGGAGGTGCCCATCTTCACCAGAATTTTTACTGTCTGGAGTTGGTTGCTAAGGACAGCATGGGCCAAAGGGGTAAGACCTGGATATATGGATATATGGATACACCAAATTATATACTAAAAAACCATTCACACTGAGGATTTAAGATTTATTTCTCCTAAGATTAAAAAAATTAGTAAAAAACGACCAACCCTATTATTTAGCTGCTATGCCTGTTCAACATCATAAGTTCACTGCTCATTAACCAACTTATCAATTTTGTCTGGCCAAATGTCAGCACTTTTTGCACAATATCTGGATCTTAGAAATAAAATCTACCCAAAGACCTTCGAAAGGGTTTAAACATGGTAGATATGCATATCTCCGATATCTGACACTTGAAATGTCATCGTATCTGGGTACTTGGCATAATGATAATGATTATTTCTAAAATCAATTTTTTCTTTTTAAACAATTTGTGTACTTTGTTTGCACTGAAACCAACAGGCAATGGTTAGATTTGTGAAGAATCTAATTGATTTCTTTTTTAAACTACACATGTAGCCCTGGTGACTACAAAAATCAATAAAAAAAGCTTCAGTACCCTAGGCATTCCAGATGAATTAATTCTTTTAATTGTTCCAAATATGTACCAAATCAATAAGGAACTTGTTAAGCATGCTCTTCTGAATGTGAAAGAGCCAACTGTGGAGTTTACCTTGTCTCTGATATCTAGTCAACCTGTAAAAGGGTGCACGGGCCTCCCACCCACTTACACTGACAAAAATATACTAAGTTTTGACCAAAATAATGGGAAAAATTCATGGTCTAAACAAAGGAACAATGTTATAGGAATTTTAATGCAACGGGGGTAGGGCTGTCCCTGGGGGTAGTGATAATATTTTTCATTGATACTTGGTAACATTAAGGGAAAATTTAAGGGATGGGGTGAGGTTATATTACCCATACTTATAATTTTTAATGAGTTAATTACTTCTATTGGCATGCTTTTTTCTGCTTCTCATCTTACCATCAGCATCTTGTTGTTCCAGCAGGCTGGGATCTTGCTGTATGGCATACACCAATGTGTTCACATCCCCCTGGGCAGCAGCCACATGGGCACTGGGACTGTTCCTATCTACATCAGCATCATCTGAAAATATGACCAGTATTACAAACTGACAATGTACCAACTCACTGTATCTAATTCAGTCACATAGTATACTATATAAACATATTTCTTTATATTCTTTTAAATCTGTAATATCATTGCCCGTATTTACTTGAAGTTCAATTCTGTTTATTATTTGCTGTCCTAGTAGGCCTGAAAAGGGATGGGGTTCAGGGAGTTTGAAAGAAGGACCCTTTTGGCCGGAAAATGTGCATCAATTTTTGATCTAGGTTCTACAAAATATTCCTCAAGCTAGGCCAACTAAGGGTGTTAACAGGTCCACTTTTTTCAGAAAAAAGGTCCTCCCACTCCTTTGATACTATTGGCTACAGGCCTGCCTAGTGCAGACTTAATATAATTTGTGACCACAACAACAATCTTATTGGTCTAAGTACAGATAGTCATAATCAAAGAATGCTAATCAAGAGTTTTTCTTATTTTTTTATAAAATGAATTTCACTACCTTTAACTATTTGCATTGCGTGAAAGAAAGGCTTCAATCCAGCCAGCACTGCTCAAAGTTGAAGATGCAGTGGCGGATTTAGAGGGGGGGTCAAGGGGGTCCTGACCCCCCCCCCCCCCCCCCCCACCTTCGCTTTCTGGTCCCCTCTTGAAATCAGAATTTTGACTATAGCTGAATCATAGTTCTAAACCATACCAAATAGCATTGTTCGCCCTCTAAAATACCAAAATTTTTCAGGGCCCTTCAGCGGGCAACAAACCCCATACCAAGTGGTGGTGGTGTGGGGGGAGAGGGTTGGTTTCGCATTTGCAGACCCCCGCTTCAAATAATCATGAATCCACCCCTGAGATGGATGTAACTGTAACATCAGGTGGGCATATTTATTTATTCCAACATGGGGGGAAAACCAAATAACAAAATTCATAGCACAGAAAGAAATGACCCCAAGCCAATATTAAAACAAAAACTGAATGAATACATCTTGTTAGATCACAGGAACCCTATTTAATATGATACGTCATGTATATTAATTTTTTTCATATCAAATTTACCGTCAACAACAGGAAGTTATTAATGTTACAGTAGCATGGTGTTAATCTTATGAGCACAAGTAAATGCGTCAGCTTAAGTATGGGATTTGTGAGCTGGATACCTGGCTCCCTTCCATTCAAACATGTTGCCAAACATTCAAGTTGGGTTAAAATGTCTTTTCTATATTGCAGACAATTTTAGATGGTTGAGAACTTTTGTATACCACTGACCATAATGAAGTGATTAAATGAAAACCCTTCTCAAATGACAACATCTTTAACCTAACATTTTACCCTACTATTTAACTTTAGACAAATATATATATATATATATATATATATATATATATATATATATATATATATATATATATATATATATATCCAAGTCAAGTACTAAAATAAATCAAGCATAGGTTGGTTTACTATTAAATTCTGTCTAATATTATTCCAGAGCATACTAGTATATTTTTACCATTGTGTTCTACTGCATGCCAAAGACATATTATTTCAATGCTTCCATTAGTAGAGTCAATAATTAGGAAGGCTTTGGAAAACATCACAAGCCACTGTGCTGGTTTATTGATGGTTTTAGGTAATGTTTACTTTTTTGGTTTCCAAGGCCATAGCTTGCATATAACAACCTCAAATGCCCAAGACAGGACAGTTTCACATTCAATAATTGTCATCTTTATCAGAGCATGTACATTTATGAAATGATATTTAATAACCTGAGTATGCCTTTCAATATCAATTATATGAAAGTCCTTATTCAAAAAATGAAATATGATATACTAATTAAGTTTTTTCATGAACTGCACCTCACAACTGCCTTAAAAGATGTACTTGTCAAGGTTTTAAGATAAATTTTTTGTTTCTTGTTCATGTTTACACCTGTTTATAAATACTTATTAAAGAATATGGCTCATTAGATTACTATTGGAATGAAAGAATATTCAAACCAACCACCCCGTCACCAAATCATGTAATTGATTAATATACCTTGATCATATATAGTAGTGTCTGAACACAATCTTTGTGTGCTAGTATATAAACCTATTATTTGTATGTTACAGTTTTGTAGCAAATATTTATCTTTAGGCTTTAGTATGTCATTGTAAAAAAAATGTTTTTTTACTGAAATAAATACCATGGTAACAAAAATTAGTGTTTGTGTGAGGTTAATTCAAGTTTATTAGCTTGAAGAGTAACTATAGTAATGGCTACTGTCATAGCAATATTGCAGTGGCTATATTTAGTTGACAATTAAATGCTTTTCAGTCTATTTTTATCCGACTGCCTTGTTCTTCTCCAGGTTGCATGTCATGTTAGGTTACCTAATTGGCAGGTGTACTGTGAGTGTGTGTGTGTGTGATTAAAAATAACACTCTCACATAATATAAATTTATTCATCCTGTTGGTATGATCAAGTATGTCTTATTTTGGACTTAAATCACTTGCAGAAAAGTACATTCCCAAATGTTTAATAAACACAGATACAGTTTTGATATGATCAACTGTATGATAGTGGAAATGAATATATAAATAATTAAAAACTTTTTTAAATGTGATTTTTGGTTTTTGGCAATATCATGCCTTGATCAGAGGAAATTTCTACCTAACATATCTCTACTCAAGATATTGTGTATATGATATGTGTGTCAAGTTTTATATTTTATTATTGTATGATAATTTTATTGAATATGTTTTGCAAAATAAATGTCAGACNATTGTGTTCTACTGCATGCCAAAGACATATCATTTCAATGCTTCCATTAGTAGAGTCAATAATTAGGAAGGCTTTGGAAAACATCACAAGCCACTGTGCTGGTTTATTGATGGTTTTAGGTAATGTTTACTTTTTTGGTTTCCAAGGCCATAGCTTGCATATAACAACCTCAAATGCCCAAGACAGGACAGTTTCACATTCAATAATTGTCATCTTTATCAGAGCATGTACATTTATGAAATGATATTTAATAACCTGAGTATGCCTTTCAATATCAATTATATGAAAGTCCTTATTCAAAAAATGAAATATGATATACTAATTAAGTTTTTTCATGAACTGCACCTCACAACTGCCTTAAAAGATGTACTTGTCAAGGTTTTAAGATAAATTTTTTGTTTCTTGTTCATGTTTACACCTGTTTATAAATACTTATTAAAGAATATGGCTCATTAGATTACTATTGGAATGAAAGAATATTCAAACCAACCACCCCGTCACCAAATCATGTAATTGATTAATATACCTTGATCATATATAGTAGTGTCTGAACACAATCTTTGTGTGCTAGTATATAAACCTATTATTTGTATGTTACAGTTTTGTAGCAAATATTTATCTTTAGGCTTTAGTATGTCATTGTAAAAAAAATGTTTTTTTACTGAAATAAATACCATGGTAACAAAAATTAGTGTTTGTGTGAGGTTAATTCAAGTTTATTAGCTTGAAGAGTAACTATAGTAATGGCTACTGTCATAGCAATATTGCAGTGGCTATATTTAGTTGACAATTAAATGCTTTTCAGTCTATTTTTATCCGACTGCCTTGTTCTTCTCCAGGTTGCATGTCATGTTAGGTTACCTAATTGGCAGGTGTACTGTGAGTGTGTGTGTGTGTGATTAAAAATAACACTCTCACATAATATAAATTTATTCATCCTGTTGGTATGATCAAGTATGTCTTATTTTGGACTTAAATCACTTGCAGAAAAGTACATTCCCAAATGTTTAATAAACACAGATACAGTTTTGATATGATCAACTGTATGATAGTGGAAATGAATATATAAATAATTAAAAACTTTTTTAAATGTGATTTTTGGTTTTTGGCAATATCATGCCTTGATCAGAGGAAATTTCTACCTAACATATCTCTACTCAAGATATTGTGTATATGACATGTGTGTCAAGTTTTATATTTTATTATTGTATGATAATTTTATTGAATATGTTTTGCAAAATAAATGTCAGACCTGGCAGAAGCATCCAAAGTCTTTTATCTAGTCTAGCTGTCTTAAACAGCATTAATTCTATGTGAGTGCATTTTGTTATGATTATTCCTTACCTCCATATTTGAACAAGAGAGTTTGCATGCATGACAAGAAGGCACTTAAAAATAATCTAGAAGAGGCATGTGTATGTAAATATACCTATGCAAATTTATTTGAACTTGTACTTTTATCAATCTATTATTATAATAAGATACATGCACTGCATAAAACAGACTGGATTCAACATTTGTACAATTTCCCCCAATAGTACTAGTACAGGCAGGCCATCTACAATGATTGAATGCCAAACTCTGTTCACGCACCTTAATATCACAGGTCTTCAAAGTGTACAATATACAAGGTATCAGGTTGAATCTTAAACTTGGAAAGCAATATCTTAATTAACACTGACACTGTGGCATCTATCTTTATGACAATGACTCTGATAGCCATAGATCTTTGACCTACCTGATCATGATTAAAACCACTGTTGAGAAAAACAAGACAGTACTCACCCATGACACAATACCTTCCTGCTTGCTGTTACCAGGCAGAAATCAATGTCATCTGCATGAGGACTTATAATGTCAAGGCATCAAATACTCAGAGCTTAGGGTTCTCATCATATCCAATTTCTCCTTCCGTAGATTCTAGTGACACTTCACATCCTGCAACCTCTTCAGTAACATATATCATATATCTTTTACCAAAAGAACGTGCATATTGGTGACCTATGAGTACTATAAATTATGTTTTGCAATGCCCACTCTCCTTTGGTTCAATCCAAATGAATGTTTCAGCTTGTTGATTTAGTTGACTTGCCTCAGAATCACCTGTTGGGTGTGGAACTGCCACACATGTGATGCATTACAGCATTATAATTTAGGCACTAAATTTTAAGGGCTACCATGAGCTGTCTGCATGAATACCAATTGTCTGATCCAGCAGTAGCTCGTTTTGTTACTCCTACTGTATATCTGTAGGAAGGCTGATGGTGCTTCACCAGTTCACTGTGGTATCCCTCTTGAAAAGCAATGTCAGCAAATCATTCTGGGCACAGTGCATCATTCCCAACATGACAATCTAGGTAGCTGTGCCTGATATTTGATATCTTTGTAATCTCCAGAAGCTTACACTTTGAAGAATACCTTCAGCTCATATTGAGACTGATAGTGCTCAACAATTTCAACACTTTCCACCAAAAAAGGCTCAGCATTGCCTCAGCCCAGCATTGTACTTTAAATAACCTTCTGGGCAGTCTAAGTCGCTGTAAAGTCCACCATTAATGAAGATGTCAGCTATAGAATTTTGCTCACCTGAAAGAATATTTAGACAGTGTATTATAATCGCAGTACAACAATATGCTTAATGTAAGCTCAAATATAAATATTTTCCCTGTGCTTCAAAGCACAGTTCACTAGTTGCTTTCACCAAGAGCAACAGAACAAACAGTCTATACATGGCACAGCACTGAATATTTTGATCTATCTTTAGGTCTATATTTCAGACAAAGGAACATTTCTGTTATGAAAATAAACATTCATTGGCAAAGTGGGACAACAGCTAAAACAGGTGCATTTCTACATAAAAGTGAGGTTAAGCTTATACAATTGCATACAAACAAATTAGACTGTATTATGTGTCATGTTATTTCACCACTTTCACATTACAAAATATTACACATAAAAAGTAGGATGTCTTAGTGCAAATGTACTACCTAGGACAGTGTAGGTACGTAATACATAAAGTAAATGCTATATATGTGTTTTTATATATTTGTAGTTTTTATGAGAAAAAAGTAATTCTACCTTTCAAAACTGTTTTCAAAAAAATTCAATGAGAAAGCTTTATAAAGTGACAAAAATTTGCAATGTATACTTTAACAGGAAAAATACATTTTAATATCAACTTTTATTTTGTTCTGATACATGTACCTTGCAAAAATTCAACACCTCTAATTTCTGTCAACTGTAAAAATATCCATGATAATTATTGATTCATATTCAAGGAAGACTTAAAAATACAACTCTCTTATTGGCAATAACCATTTCATTTCTCATAAGGTGCAAAAAGTTAACATGACACATTTCATCCATTTGCACAAAATAAATAAAATAAATGTATGCACGTCTTTCAACATCAATTTTATGCCAAGTGTGGGCAACTACCAAGTCCAAGCCCATAAAGAGAATCAATATCTTGACAATAATTGCTCCAGTGTCCTGCCAATGATTTTCATTTCCTGGGCATTGGGTTGTAAGGCAAATTTAGGTGGATTTATTTTCTCAGTCATATATCACTTTGATTTAATAGCATACAATTTGTCAACCCAGAGCTTACCAAAGTGGTGAAAAAGAACAGCAACTACAGGCAATTTAAACAATTTTTTGTCAGTTTCTCAGTATGTTTTTTTATCCTTTTTATAACTATTGTAATGATAATAGAAATGTTACAAAAACTACCCACAACCTTGGTGAAATTGATTATTCAAAACAATATTAAAGTAAAAAGCTTGCAAGGGGTAATAAGGCTATAGATGCACTTCGTATAGATTACACAAAAAGTATTCTCCTATGGAATTAGCTGAAATTACACACCAAAATAGTCAAAACACCACTGAATCTTTCATTATAGTACAAATGGGAATGGATAAATAATACAAATAGCATTATACTGCTGCAAATCTCATTTCCATTAGTTCTACACTGTCGACAGACCTTAAGTATTTGATGTCTACATTTTGGACTTAACATGTACAAGGCAGCATTCAATAAAATAGCTACTCATACAACCAAAACACAAAACTGAGATAAATAAATTTATACTTCTGAGAAAATAAAGCATCAACAAAGCAGCTTAAACAATACAGTTGACTTATAATATTTTTTCAACAGCAGCTTTCTCTTACGATGGTTTGGTTTCCCAGCTATAACTCTGGGTCTTTACAAACTAATGAACAGAAAGAGCAGTTCAGTTTTCCACTCATATAAAACTGGCCACGTACAAAATATGATAACAATAAAGGGATAGAAAAGTTATAAAGATTATAATGAGACTGGACCCCTCAAGTCTAATAATCAAAGAAAATGGCAGTATGCAACATACATGCACACAGGGTGCTGCCGTGCATATAAAGATAAAGGACTAGTACGTGCAAATTGCCTGTTTACAGTCCTTGACATGGTACGCTTTGCAGCTATTGAAGGTTTATTTTCAATATTCCTTTTTTGAGGTAAAAAAAAGTAATATGGCATATTTATAGATAATGGTATGGGTTGATAATTTAAGACCAACAGCCATGTAGTTTTGTAAAACTTGAATCATAACATTTCAGCATATGTAGTATATTCTTTCTTCTACAACTTCCACATGCTCTGCCAATGCCCCATATATAGTCAAGTAAGAACATTCTGTTCAAGTTATGATGAATGGCAATAATCTTTTTTTTTTTTATTTTGTGGATTTAGGTAAAAGTGTGCAAAGTAAGTTTTTTTTTTGGGGGGGGGGGGGTGGGGGGTGGAGATAGTGTTTTTACATATATGTTACATTTTTTGAAAATTTGGACTGGAGCATCACCATGAGTTTATATGGCATCCGTCAGCCTAATGTTGCCATGAAGTTTTGTAATAAATTCATATTTTATTCTTAGTATAGACAGCAGGCTTGGCAGTGTTTCAAAACCAGGAGCCATTTGTTTTTCTCTCTTCCGCAATTCACAGTATATTTGTTCCATAGTCACTTCACCAGATTAAGGATCATGAGCACACAATATGAAATGTGCCAACAGCGAAATCAATAAAGAAACCTGTCTTTGCCAAGCAACAACCTATCTATAATGTACACGTTATAAGGACAACATAGTGCACTGCTCTCGTACAGGCAGAATGATGATTATATCAAAGAGAATGAATAAGCTATAATATGGGCCAAATGTGTCATTAAACCTGGGTATGATAGGTTAGGTTCATTCATCAATCCATCATCTTCCTTCAAAATGCACAATTCAGCAAATGTCCTGGGTATTAAGCAATGTGCATATGCCAACAGCAACATAAATACACACATATATTTGAGAAATAATATCAATGATTTTAATTAAAAACATTGATTTTAAAATTCAGACCTCCGTGAATGTAGCCATTATCATGTACCCGTATGTCTACATTGTCTACCCGTAAATGATGGCTGCTTTGTAGCTAAAAGGCTAGTATATTGGATCTATAATTAAGAAGAAATTGATTGTTTACATAGTCAAATCAATACATGCCAGTGTGATTACTGATTAATGATGACAACCAATATCAAATAAAGACAAATGTTAATCATCAGGATGACATGATGGAAATAATTAAAGAAGTTTCTGACTACATGTAGGTCTGAATCAAAGGTATATGACAGAAATATACAATGTCTTGTAGTTTTGAAACTGATTCAAGAGAACCCATAGTTACAGGTGCAGCTGCATCATACAATGCAAAAATTACCTTTCGTTGTTTTGTTTAATGATAATCTAATGAAATCATCTAGGTCTTTATGAAAAGCAGACACTTTTACTGGTGCGCCCGGGATATCAAGTGGCATTTTTTCATTCATGTAGATCAAAATCTGTGAAACATGCTTCATCAGTCATAAATTCTTAAAACTATAACACTATAACTATTGAGTGGTACCACCAAAACTGAAAATGCAGGTTACCTTATAGTTCTTTTCTATAAAGTAAAATCACTGCAAATGCTAAAGAGAAATATATTTTAATGATTCCAAAATAATGTATTTAATGAATTCCAAAATAATGTATTGGGAATATTCATAATTTTTCCCCACTGAAAAGATATTTTTTTAATCCCAGTATGTGAGTTGAAAGAAAATGCAACAGTTCTGTACTTGCTCACTTACAAGAGAAGTGAATGGAATAGAAAATGTACAGTAAGAGTGCTAAACACATGATAAAACGAACTTATGCAAAATTTGACCTAGGATTCTTTTTCCAAAAAAGTACGTGCCCACCCCCTTTGAAATCTCCTACAACTCCTGTCCAGCGATGTGGACACAGACAGGTGATAGCAATATGTACATAATACAGACACACGTACAAAAAAGTTTTACTTATTACATCACCTAAATATCGCACTGCTGGGCGATAAGTGTATTAAAAGAGGGTACATATCATGATACATAAGAGGTGTACATGTATAGTGCGGAAGATAAAACGAAATATGTTGTGAACTAATTGGCATAAAAAGTTCATTGTGGCATGCCATTAGGCATTATCTTCAAGTTTACAACTCTACCGGTAGTCAAGTCAATGTTTACGTTAAAAAGTGAAAAGAGATCCTCGTTTATAGTAATACCAACGTTAACAGTAAGATACGAAAATTATTCGCCGGCAAGAGAAAACGCATAATTACCTCTGCTGTCGCAAAAACACGCCTGGAGACAAAGCAACAATCACACTGCGTTGAGCAAGCATAGGCGTAATGCAAGTGTCGAGTCAATAACTCGCTTACNTATCAATATTAATTGACATCCGCTGTGTATTTCAGCACTTTCTACTTTGTGATTTTTCCAAACATGAAAAAAAGATTTCTGTGCAAATAGTACACAGAACGCTTTGTCTTTGAAATAAGAATTTTTTAAAACCCCTATAGTGAAACATTATAACTGAGCAGTCAATCTAAATTAACGTATACCGCGAGTCAATTATAAAAAAATAATTGGTGCATGTAGAAGTTTCCCGATTCGTAAACGGTTCTGAAGAAAACAGGGAGGGGAGATTAACATGTAGACAACACAACTAATGTAGATCTAATGAACAGCAAATTTATATGGACACAATTTAATTTTTTTCTTATATCTTTTATTCACGGTAGAATTGATGTCAAGAATATCGGTGCATTGCTACAATTATGTACAATAAATAATCGATTTGCAAGACTGCACGGAAAGACCGCATAGCCTGAAGTAAGCCTTCGAAGATGTGATAGGTGTTCCCATTGTGCTCAGATACCCCTACTAAATTGCGTTTTGAAACTGCACAGCCTTGAAACATAACTTCTAGGGCTAAAATAAAATGTACCAATGCACTCTGAGTTAAGTAACACTAACCTCCTTAAACAAATCATTTTGGATTTAATTAAACACCATTTCATGGTTTTTAAAATTAAAATTATGCTGCTTTTGGCCTCCAAAGACCAATTAAAGCACGGCAGTTGCGTTGTGCATATATAGCTGGAAGTTGGGCAGCCTTGTGGAAATCTGGTTTACAACTAATCTGACCTCTGTCCCCTTCAAATATTTTTATTGTGTTTAATTTATCGATTTTACTCTTTTTAGTGCTCACCTAGAAGAGCTTTTGGAAAGCATTTTTCATCGTTTTGTACAGGTTACACTACTCCCATATTGCAGCCAAGGTAGTCCCTACTGCCTGCTCACCTTAGCCTGTACCAATCAGAAGGGTTTCTGGCTTGTATTCATAGGTCTACTATTCCTGTCACGCCTGCATTATTGTTTAGATGTGTTAGAGGGATTTATTATAAAAGCGGAGACAAATTTACCTTATGTTAGCACAAAGATCAAAGCAATAGTAGTTTTATCTACTTAAAATTTTCTGAATTGGATATTCACACTACATCATATACATGTTTAATATGTGAATTTTTATCAAATATTTTTGAATTTATTAAAATCTATTTTGATATGACTCTTACAAATCTCCTGGAGCTTTAGAATTGACATTTTTGTTTCTTAAAGTGAAAAAAAAAAAAAAAAAACTCGAGGTAAACCTCATTCAAATAGGTTTAAGCAGTTGTTTTACACCTCTGCAATAGTAAGGAGTTCCATACATCTTTGTAAAAATGACTATGCTTACGTATAAATACTTTTTGGTGATGTGACTACTGTGCCTATGGTTATGGGTGAGAAAGATGGTCAAAAACAAGCTAACAGGGATGAGAATAAAATCCTGTAAGGAGCATTTCCAGTGCACTGTAAAATTTTTGCTATCGATTTCATATTCCTATTTTGTATATCATTTTAATCTGGACTTTTATCGTTTGGTGATAAAAGTGATAAAAAAGGAAATTGATGCATTAAGGCAAAAGAAATGTTTATTCTTGTCTCATTTACATAGTGTAAGTTAATCTGACCAAAGGAAACATATCATTAATATTTTTTTTTTTCAAATAGTAATGCCATTAAAAAGCAACAAAGCACTTTCTTTTTGATTTTGTGCATGTTCTTTGGCACATAAAAAGAGAAAAATACTTTCTTGGAAGACATAAGTAATACCCTTCCCGTGTAAAACTAAGCCATTTTTTCTTGATGTTTACAAAAAGTGGTCAATATTCTTAAAATTGCATTTGTGAAAATACTTGTAAAACAAAGCTCTGACATAATTCAATCTTCTGGTATTTCATCTTTGACATAATACTGAAAATTTCTAGGAAATCACTTCACTGTTATTTATAAATGGATGTTTACGAATTACAATGTTTATTTATATGAAAGGAACATAAACTTAACTTTATAAAAATAATATCACATCTGTCCCATGAAGGCTTATGTAAGTCATTATTCAAAAATAAATTGATCACTAACGTAATGCTCATTGTTCTAGTTACAAAATAATCCTGTACAAAGATTTACTTTTAATCTGTGACCAAATTCAGTAAATGCAAAAAATACAATATTTGCATATATTAAGTAAACAATTGGTTAACACACAAATCTGCACAAAGTGAAAGATAAAAAAGGACTCAATTTCCCCTGGCCTCCACCTATGTTAACAGCTCACTGACTATTTCTTAGCATGTGATCAAGTTTATGAAAGACCAGACTAGTCTGTCTGGCATGTACCATCCAACTTCCTATTGATGTGCCATTTTTGGTCATCATTTCTACATGTCGCTGCTCTTTCAAGGACATAGGCCTACAAACTACTCCAAGTTCCTTTAATGCTTTCAAGACTTGATTGGATTTAAAGTTGGGGAAGAACTTCTTATGGAATCTTTGGAGAGTTATGTACTGTTCATTACCACGTTCCACACATGGGAATGGGACATTCAATATTTTGACAATCAATTTTCTTTCTGGCAAATTTGAATAGTCTTCCACTTTTTTTCTTGAAGTAACACTGGATGCAATGTAATTATGCACTGTGTTGTTTCTTGAAAACAGAAGCTACTTCAGTCCTGAAAGGGCTAGCACCAGTTTTCACAGTTGTTTTAGAAATAGTTCTGGTCGAAGATGTAGATGATCCAGACACCATCTCTTTCTCTGCATGCCCTTCTTTTACTGTATTGATGCCAGTGGAAATTGATTTGCTGTGTTGAGAAGTGTGAGTAGAGGCTGATGAGTCAACAGGTACAACTTTGCTCTGTTGTGGGAGCCTAGTTGCCCCTTTAAAGGTTCTTTTATCCAAATTTAGTTCACCTGGTGGCATTTCAGTAGACGTAACAGATGGGTGCTGTGCCAAGTTTTTATCCAAAAGCAGCTGTGCCAACAGGAGCAGGATGGGAGTTATATTCAGAGTCACTTGTGAAGACTGCTGGGGAGACTTCGGGTTGTTCACAAATTCCAGCTTGGCCAATTTGGGAATGAACAGGGTCCCTTGTTGAAATTGAGGAAGCATTTGGAGAAGCTACAGAATCATTTCCTAAGTTACTGGTCAATTCAGGTTTCTCTACAGCATTGTGACGGTGAACATCGTGGCTATGGGAAGAACCTATCAAAGCCGCTGTGCCAATATGTTCAGAATCTTGGGCTGGTGCTGAAGAGGCATTTGTCAAGGCAGATACTGAGCAAGTAGGAGGGACAGTGTGATTCTGGCTGAAGGTCTTTTCCAAGGAAGGTACTGGAAACTGAAGAGAACCATCTGAATGAATCTCTTTGGGTGTATGTTCCACGCCCTCCATTCTCGAAGGTGGCAATAAGTGAGAATCTGGAGTTGTCTTTGGTGAAACAGGTGTCTGTTCCATTTGTGCAGACGATTCATCTCTATACATATCTTGAACTTCCACTCCTTGCTCTTTGGTTTTCTTACTATGGACTTGAGATTTAAATCCTTCTTCAGTAATAGTTCTAGACCTTTCTTTTAGTGATTTCACTCCAGCTGCAATGGTTTTGTAATGGTGTTGCACAAAATTCAGGCTTACAGCGGTTGGGTCAAGATCCAGTTTTGCACCCTTTAGGTCTTCAGTATACTTTGCCATTAAATATTCTGAACTTGCCAAGTTTTGCATAGGAGCTCCTAACAGCATGCACACTTCCTTCAATTGTTCTAATGTACATTTAAAATGATTTACTAGTCCACTTAGCAGTGTTATTCCATTATACATATCTTTAAAAACTAAAACATCTTGCCTGCCATCCAATCTTTGAAGCCAGGCTCCTGCACAGACATCAGAATGGGAATCTCTGAAATATTTTTCCTTCCATATATATAACTTGCCATCTGTTCTTTTCACCAAAAGAAGTTTTGGGCTACATCTAGAAATTTGCAGATAATTGGTGGCCTTGGCAGGTTGCGTAGTTTCATCAATCACCCTGCTGGATGCACTGATGTGCTCTGAAGATGTCTCAGCAGCTTCTTGATAATCGAGGCTGATATCTGATATTGGTCCATTGTCTAATAGCATCTTCTTCCTAGGAGAGATACCACCATTATCTTGCTTATCATCATGTTTTCGTTTAATCTCCGTGACATAGGTCTCCTGGTTGATTACCTTGTGAAAACTAGGAACCACAGGTTGTGGTGTTTCTACGTTTTCCAAACTAGCCGCCTGGTGACTTCCTTTTGGTAAGGGCGTGTCATTTGATGGAATATTTAATGTATCTATATCAATGTATTCAGGCTCACTGTCCACTTCCGAGATATCCATAGTATGGATTTCATGGGGTAAGACATCAGAAGGATCCTTTGCATTGTTACTCACATCTACTTCTTCCACTTCATCATCACTGATATCAATGACAATAATTGGAGGGGTTGTTTGTGCATTTCCAACATTGGATGGTGATATTGAAGTTGCTGATGTAGCTGCATGTTCCTTGTCACCCCTGATGTTTTCTACCACCAAAGACTGGACACTTGAAGATTCAGATGAATTGCCCTCAACTTTAAGGTTTTTGATATCTAATGGTTTAACATTTTCTTCTTGGTGGAGATAAGGGTCAGTCGGAGAAACAAATGGTATACTAACTTCCTTCTTATGGTCTGTCTTTTCAATGCCCAAGAAGCTAGTTTTGACTGAAGTACAAGGCACTATCTCAGTTTCCTTACTTTGAGTGTCATCTACATCAGTGTTTGCCCTGGGAGTACTTTCCACTTTTTCAGAGAAGTCTTGTTCCTCTTCATCACTAAAATCAACAATCTCTCTTGAAATCAATATCAGGTTGTTCGACTTTGGTGGGACAGTAACTTTGACATTATACACTTCTGAAACATAATCAGTGTCAGTGTTCAACAAACCAGTGGCACCTGTGTCAGCATTGTCTCTGGATGGACTATTTACTCCAGAACTACGAGCTTTATCCTGTGGTGTGTCTGGTATCACATCATTTACATCAGAAATGTGTCTAACATCACTTATGGTAATTTGATGTAAGCAATCCGTGGTATCAGCATTTGGGGTTTCAACAGCTGGGCCTTTGTTGATGGAAGAACTTGAGTCATTTTTGTCAGTTAGAGAGGATGATCCTTCCTTCCAGTCTGATGTAAGGACAGAACATGCATTCTGCGGGCCATTTTGAGTTTCTATGTTACTCAGTGTATTGGTGTTTCTTCTATCAACATCCTGTATAGGCTTCACATCTCTTACAGCTTTGTCACTGGAAGCACAAGAGGAGATGCTATTGTTTGAGATAGCAGAACACGGAGTTATGGCTTTATCCTTTAAAAAGCTACCTGAAATTGGTGTTATCGATGTGCTGATATTCAATGTGTCAGAAGAGGAAGCATGCTTTGGACCACTTTTGAATACAGCAGGCCTTGGACTTTCTGCATCTATGCAACCATAAAGGACTGTGCTGTCTAGGTCTATTTGAGGTGAAGAGGCTGGTTCTTGAGAATTATTTTCTTCTCTCCCTGATATAGCCAATGCTGTTGAACTGCAGCTTGGTTTATTTTCAACTTTTACCATGAAATCATTTTCAACTGCAGAAGGCAGATTGGCCACAGATGAGTTAAATTGTCTGCCAAAGTCAGCAAGAGAAACAGCCCCTTCGGTCTTGTCAATGCCTAAAGAATCAAATGGTCCTGACTGAATATGTCTTATATCTGGTTTTGTTCTTGGAGAACTTGCGACTTTGTTTGATACTCCAGCACAGGGCACCTCTGAGTTATATTCAGACTTGATATGTACAGTTTGAGTGCTACATGACGACACTGTTCTTGCAGCCGAAACGGATCTTGTTTGGTCATTTGTAACTGTAGAATCATGTTGGTTCTGCTGGGCATCTCTCGATAAGGGCACTAAATGTTCAGCAGTAGATGAAGATTGTACGTCAACAGGGGAAACTGCTACTGGCTGCCGCCAAGCCTCATGAGATGATGAAGACTGTGCAGGGAGTGTTTGTATCCTGGATGCAGTATTCTCAACCACTGATCCCTGAGTTTCTAAATTTGTGGATGAAGGTAATAAATATTGACCTGTAGATGCAGATTGTACCTCAACAGGTGAAACTGCTACCCGTTGCTGCCAAGCTTCAGGAGGTGAAGAAAACTGTAATGGGGGTGTAAATGACCTGGATATAGCATTCTCTACTACTGCTCCCAGAGTTTGTAAATTACCCGAGGTATTTCTAGGCGCATCATTGCTATTTCTTTGGCTTCCTACAATCATGTCTGCACTTAACAGACTCCCCTGAGAACTTCTTTGGATTGAACCAGGGTTTGGTTGACCTGGAGGATACTGTTGTGGCAAAAGTGCTTGTTGTTGTTGTTGTCTATTAGAAGACCTACAATCAATGATTGGTCCCGAAATACTATTGCTCTGTTCTGTACTACTTGTCCAGTTAGATCTGGGTTGATTGTAAACCCATGAAGTAGAATTTGGCAGTGCTGTTGGCTGCTGATATGTCATTTGTTGATTAGAGTGCATATACCCAGGCATTACATTTTGGGTTTGCTGGAGTGGTTCATTTGCATTCCACCTGTTCACAGCTGATTTTGCTTGGGAGTGTCCATTTCTCATCTCAGTCTGGGTTCTTAGCAATTGTTGTGCATATCCGTGCCTGTTTGTGTCATAGATGTGATTGGATGAAGGACCTGACCATGCATTTGTGCCTTGATTTTGTCCAGGCATTTGTCCTTGAGCAATATGCAAGTTTGTTGATTTTGAATACTGATACTGTGAGAGTGCCACACCAGTTGTATTGTGGTAGTTTCTTGCTGGCCATATATGCTGCTGTGACTGCTGAAATTGTTGTGGCTGCTGATATGTGCTAAGTACTGGTGGTATAACTGATGAATTAGGCATAATATGAACTCCACCTTCTTTGTGCTTTTCCTGAGTGTTTTCTTTCAGCGGTGGATAATATGGCACAGTTTGATTACCCTGCAATTGTGGCAACCCTTGTTGATGCACATTATCATTTGGTCCTTTCAAACTCCTGACTTCAATTTTATCTTTAATCAAATGTTCTACACCATTGATCCATTCATACTGTAACTTAGCCACCTTTGATCGTTCCTGTGCAACAGTATGTAATGCCTTCAGTGTTTCCAAAGGTACCCTGTCCATTGTGGAAATATATTGCTGCATTCTATTGGGGTCAGGCCAAGGACGGTTTGAAGCTGGGAGCAAAGAATTGTTGGTGGTAGTCCCATTCTGATAATGACTTGGTGTGGTAATATGTCTAACACTGCCAGATTTGTCTGATGACCACATATCTTTACTTCTTTGCAAATTCACCGGGTTTGTATTCTTGATAGGGGGAGTGACCTTCTCACTGTAGCTGTACTGTCTATTAAAAAAAAATGTTGTAGCATTAGTTCAAATTAATGTCATCTTAAAAAAGCAATACAAAAGTGATGCACAAAAAATGGTGATTCAAAACTGTGATTATATTTCTATCAGCTTATATTCATTGCTGCACTGCACTCTAGTGCCATTGCTTCTGACCTCATTCTCCTCCAATTCCCATGACATCTTACTTGATGTTAAGTAGCCAGATTGGACTATATTGGACAATTCCCGACATCATAAGACACCCTCTCACTATACTATAAGACAAGATGTTTTACATTCCTTTCCAGTCATAAATGAATGGTTGAAGGGTTAAATTTGTAAAATCATGGTGTGTGAATGTTTTTCATCTGTCAAAAATTTTATCTTTTAGAAAAACTGCATGTACTTTTACTGTATGTTCAGCTGTGCTATGTTAAGATGTTTAAACATTTTAAGGTCAGTTTCATGATAAAAATGGCAAAATAGGAGTGTCATGCATGGTATGTTTCAATTTTGACAATTCACTAAAGCGTCTGTTGACATTTAATTCTAAAAACATTGTACTAAAAAAACTTTGTACATTTAGAAATAAACTTCCTGACAGTAAGATGGGGGACTGCAAGTGCTCTGATTTATTTACACATTATTGGATATGAAATGCCTCTCCTAAAGCAACAGTGGTCAGAAATTGACATTTCAGAAGGCCCATTTTTCAATTTTACAAGTATTTGCTGTGGGCCATGGGTTATGGCACTTTAGAGACCAAGACTGGGTTCCCATCCCTAGATCAATCTAATAGGATTGGTCCATCTCCATTGGGTCCCTCGCTAAATTGCTTTCAGCCCAAGCTGAATGCCATCATCTGGGATGCCCACTAAAGTTGCTAAATGGTAGTTTATTAAGCCGCCCAAGTTAACGACAATTAAGCAAGAATCCACTCCGAGATATTTCAATCCAAAGTTGGTACGATAGGGTATGGGAATGGTCTCTACCCCCAGACTTGCTACATCTAAAAAAGGAACTTATTTTTTTCTTACGCTAGATCAGGCCTTATAAATAGATAAGCCATTTCCAAGCACTACCTGCAGATCTTCTAGCACTAACACCCATATTAACCACCTAACCCACAAATTAACCAGCACTACCAGAGTGGATGAATGTTAGTGCTAGATATCGCTTTGTTGGTGCTAAATAATTGTATGGTGTGTTGGTTAATTTGTGGGTTATGCAGTAAATATGGGTATTAGTGCTAAAAGATCTGCGGGTAATGCTAGTAAACGCCTAATCTCTTTATGAGGCCTGTAGTTCAGATCGAGCAATGAATAGTTATAAGCATTTTTGAACTTACCTATTTGGTGACCAATTACTGTTTCCTTCCCAAGAATTCATGTTTACATTACTATCATCAAATGCAGTCCACCAGTCACCAACTATGTCACCCCTTTCAGGCTGCCTAAAAACACAATTATTAAAATAATATTAAAAAATCAAACAAAAAATGACAGAAATACATCTGACAAATGTAATCTCACGGTTATCTCCTTGAAATGTTTGAATGTACTTGGAGAAAAGTAGTATAGCAATTAGTACCCACAGGCACTACAACATACACCTGAAATACAGCAAAGATAGCTTCCATGTCTATAAATCTGATACCTGTAACCTGATGCAGCTACATGATATTTTTTTTTTGTCTTGAAACAAAACAACAGCGAGTGAAACATGATATCCCACCTTCTTAAGAGTAAGAAAACTTATGTAAGGCACCAATCATACTTCAATGACCCAAGTATTGTGACATTCTCTGGTTCTCAGGCATCTATTTATAACTGTGAGAAGAAATAGTTTCTGAAACACTAGCAGATCTGCAGTAAAGTTCACTTTCTGATCCTGAATTTTCACAGGCCCAGATACACTTTTGTTTCTACACTTAATCAATTTAGATGTCACTGTATTTGTGGTTTCTTTCCAGTCAGCTGGGAGCCCCCTGATAAATTTTCCTGATTGTTTACAGTTTGAGCCTTTTTAACAGGTGGCCTGCATTCCTTTGCAATGTGCCCATATCTGTGACAACTCCACATTTGCTTTTCAGTTTCTTAAAGACAGTCTCAGCGCGTTAAACCCTTAAAATAGCACGAAAATGAATTTTCCTGGAAATCTCACCAATTTCCCCATAATGACCAAGGTATATCCTATCCAAAACCGTTGAGAAAATGAACCTACCTAATACCGTTTTTAAGTTCCATTAAATAATAAAAGACGACTCGTCTTAAATACTCAGCTACCACCTCACAGTACGGCTTCAGAACGCGCAATTTCTCGCTAAGTCTCGCGGTTTACTATGAATGAAGTACTACGGCTGAGACCCGGATGTTACTATTTGGCGCCAAAACAGCAAACATGGCTCAGACGCGCGTCAAGTCTGAAGAGGAGAGCGACAAAAGGGGACGAAAGAAAATAGCCACTCCAGTTCGAAAGATACGAAAGAAAATTAGAGACAGACGAAGAAGCACTCAGACTGTGTATGTTGGGAGGGAGGTGGGGCGGTGGAGGACACTTAAAGCTGAGTTAGGACTCACATACGAGGCAATGGCGAAACTACTCCTCGACACGTGAGTATGCGCTTCACAGGTCTCAAGTGTGT